CATCTAACTTTGAGTGGGCCCCTAGGGCTAGTTAGGGGTCCCTCGGGCTAGTTAGGGGCACCCAGCGCTAAATGGGGGCACCCAGCTCTCACCTGAGGGAACCTAAGGCCAATGTGTGTCGGTCACAGCTAAGTGGGGAGTCACCCATGGTTAACTGGGGGCACCCAGGACAAAGTGGGGTCACCCAGCACCAACTGGGGGCACTTAGCACTCCCAAGGCTATTGGGGGGCAACACTAACTGAGGGGTTCACCTAAGACTAATTAGGGGCACCCAGCAGTACTTAGGAGCACCCAGTGCTAAGTGAGGGGATAACCAATGCTATAGAGGGGGGACATCCAGTGCTAACTGGGGGGAATCATAGGATTAACTGGGACTCCCCAGCCATATGGGTAAGTAGGGCCAACTGGGGGCAGCCAGCACTAACTGGGAGACACACAAAGCTATTGGGGGCTCACTTCGTCCTAACTGGGAGAACCCTAGGACCGGCTGGGGTCACCCATCACTAACTGGGAATGCTCCTCACCCCGCTTCCTCCCCTTTCCCCCCGCCCCGCTCCACCCTGCCGGCGCTCCCGGTACCGGCGGCGCTGGCCGGGGGGGGGCCGCTGTGCTGCATTGCGGGGCGGCACCGCGTCCCCGCCCGCCTCCGCCCGGCCCTGGGGGGGAGCGGGGCTATCGGGGCGGGCAGCGCCGGGCCCCGGGCAGGAATGTCCCTGCGCGCTCCGATAATGGTATTTATAGCGCGGCGCCCGGCGGCTCCGCTCCCCCCGCCCCGCTCCGCGCCCGCACTCGCCGCCCTTCGCCCTCCCGCAACCGCCGCCGCCCCGCGCAGGTGAGTGCGGCACCGGGGGGCGGGGGGACGACTGAGGGGGCGGTGGGGATGGACGTCCCCGAGCGCCCTGGGGACACCCAACGGGGGGTAGGGTTCCGCTCGGTGTCCTTGGGGGAGGATGCAGCCATGGGGTGCCCCGATGTGGGGCGTCCCGATGCGGGGTGCCCCAGTGTAGGGTGTTCCAGCGTGGGGTGCTGCCATTTGAGGTGCCCCGATCGGGGTGTCCCAATCCTTTGGGTTCGGTTTCGCTCAGAGTGGGGTGTTTTTCTCCATGCTCGCCGCTGCTATGCTGGGTTCAGTGCCACAGTGAACAGCCCCACTGTGGGATGTTGCTGCGGAGTTTTGGGGTCTCATATGGGTCTACTGGGTTGTGGGTGCCCCCCGCTCTAGAGAGAGAGCAGGGCTGAGCCCAGGCCTATTTATAGCTGGCAATGCACGCAGCGTGGCAGCACGTGTGTGTGCCACCGGCGGGCGACTGCAGGGACAGCGGGACAGGGACAGGCATTGTGGGGCCCCGGGGAGCTGTGCCGTGCCGTGCCATACCGTGCCGTGCCATGCCATTCTGTGCCATGCCATGCCATTCTGTGCCGTGCCATGCTGTGCCACTGATGGACACAGTGCCAACCCTCCTTCCACAGCAGTGCTCTGAACCCACTTTGGTCATGGAGATTTGGGGTGACGCTGAGTGTTGGCACCCCATAGATTCACTCTTTTGGGGTGAATGGGGATCCCATACGCTGCTGTTCTCCTGTACCCCTGTCCGGGATACCCACAGAGTGCGGCAGGGGCTCAGGGCACCAAGCAGCGGGATCACCGGGCACAGTGTGGGCACTGTGGTGGCAGCTCAATGCCAGCCCTGGGAAGTGCTGATTCACGGCACCGAGCAGCAGACTGGGAAGGCAGCAGGGGGCAAGTGGGATGCCCTACACTGTGACCCTACTGGGCTCTGTGTTTTCCTGGTGGTGGCAGAGGCAGATTTGAAGGGTCGGCGCTCCCTACGCTGTCAGTGTGCACTGGCGGCACGTTAGGGGCCTTGCCAGCATTGGGGAGGAGCAGGAGGATGCTGGCTGCCCGCTGGCATGGCAGATGCAGAGGCATGGCACTGCTCAGCAGCACGTGTGGGAGGGTTCCCACCTATGGGATTCCCCACGGTTGGAGTGTTTTTGAGGTACTGTCTGGCACGGTGCTAGGATGCTGTGTGCTCTGCTCCTGCATGCTCTGCATGTACACCCCTCCCTAGCCTCGCTCACACATGCACCACTAAGATTAGGGTACAGCACAGCACCCAGCCCAGCCTGGCTGGCCCCGATAACCCCCCCTGCACGCAGGTTTTTTCCCCCCAAAACCTTCACAGCCCTTGGGGTCGCCCCATGGGGGACACCTCAGTGTGCCATACAGGTGCTGAGTCCCAACTGGGCAAACCCCGTAGCACAAAGAAGGTGTGAGGATTTTGGGTGCTGGAGGTGACAGCCCCCAGCCTGGCTCCTCACACCCTTCAGGGGCCCCAGGGCGGCCTGCAGCTGCTGGCAGCATTTTTAGATACCGGCCGGTCCTATCTGTGGCTCAAATGTCCCTGAGGGCGGTCGTCCCCTCCCCGTCCCCCCTGAACCAGCAGCTGTTGCCTGCTGTCTGCCTAAAGCCCCTCCGGCGCAGGCGTGGGTCAGTGCCAGTCCCTTTGGGTGCCACCCATGGATGCTGTGGGACCCATATGGGGTGACAGCCGTGGGGAGCACCCAAACACCTGGGAGCAACGCTAAATCCCGCTGAGCTGATTAAGCGGCAGGTCTTAGCTGCAAATCCTACAGCACAGCGGGGCGGTCATGCCTGTGCCCGCATCACCCAACGAGGGTCCTCTCCCCGTAGCCGCCGGCCACACAGCCGCGGGACACCGGGACCATGACCTCCGAGAATGACTATGACCATCTGGAGCTGCAGCAGTCCTACAGCCACTGGGATGCCTCCGACGATGAGTTGGACAACGACAACAGTTCAGCGCGACTCTTTGAGCGCTCCCGCATCAAAGCGCTGGCAGGTATGGGGCTGGGTTTGGATCGCTGGAGTCCCTGACACTATGAGTTGGAGATGGTGTCACTGTGGTTGCTCCCCTGTTGCAGATGAGCGGGAGGCAGTGCAGAAGAAGACTTTCACCAAGTGGGTGAACCTGCACTTGGCTTGCGTCACCTGCCGCATCTCCGACCTCTACTTGGACCTCCGGGACGGGCGGATGCTCATCAAACTGCTGGAGGTGCTGTCCAAAGAGATGCTGGTATGAGCGTCCTCCTGATAGAAACCCTGGGGTCCATCCTGTGCCATCTCATGCCCTGCTGTGCTGTGATGTGCCATGCTGTGCTGTTGCATAGCTGCGCCATGCCTTCTCAACCCATGCTGTTCCATCCCATACCATCACGTGCCATGACATCCCATGCTGTGTGTGCAGTCTCATTCCGTGTTATGCTGTGCCATGCCATCCCATCCCATGCCGTTCCATACCACAGTGATCTGTTTCCTCCTGTGCTGTCTCACGCCATTCCACTCTATCACATCCCATGCCATCCCATCCTGTGTCCTCTGGTGCCATCTCACTCTATGACATACCATGCTATGCCATGCCATGCCATGCTGTCCTATGCTATACCTTTCCCTGCCATCCCATACCTTGTGCCATTCCATGCCCTTCCATGCCATCTCATCCTATGCCATGCCATCCTATGCCATACCATGTTCTTCCATACTATCCCGTGTTGTTCTACGCTGTATAATCCCATGCCATGCCATCCTTTGCTATCCCATCTTATGCTGTACCATGCCATCCTATGCCATGCCAGCCCATGCCGTGCCATCTCATGCCTCATCATTCCATACCAGTGTTACATTCCCTGCTGTACTATCGCCCCGTGCCATCCTGAGCCATAGCATGCCATGCTAAGCCACCCCTTGTACTGTGCCATGACTGCTGGGCATGGCAGTGGGGGTCCCTGGGCAGGGCAGGGCATGCCAGGCAGTGAGGGCAGGACACTGAGTGCTATTGTGCCCCAGCCCAAGCCCACCAAGGGCCGGATGCGCATCCACTGCCTGGAGAATGTGGATAAGGCACTGCAGTTCCTGAAGGAGAAGCAGGTGCACCTGGAGAACATGGGCTCCCATGACATTGTGGACGGCAACCACCGCCTCATCCTTGGCCTCATCTGGACCATCATCCTCCGCTTCCAGGTACCATGGGCAGGTGGCGCCCACAGACTCAGTGCCCCAGCAGGAGCCATATTCCGCCATCTTGGGTTGTCAATCTGTCCCACAGGTGCAAGATGTCATCAAGGAGATGAAGGAGGGTCCAGAAACACGTTCGCCCAGGGACGCGCTGCTGCTCTGGTGCCAAATGAAGACAGCAGGGTAGGTGGAGGTGGAGTCCGTGGCCTTGGGGCCCAGGGGTGCACAGAGGGTGATGGTGACCCCTTTGTTGTCTTCGCCGTAGCTATCCTCACGTGAATGTCACCAACTTCACCTCCAGCTGGAAGGACGGACTGGCCTTCAACGCCCTCATCCACAAGCACAGGTTCATGGCACAGCCGCTGGCATAGGTACAGTGTCAGTGGTATCAGCTGTGTCAACATGTCTCTGTGCTCTCTGTCCCCAGGCCTGAGCTGTTTGACTTCAAAACTCTGACCAAGTCCAATGCCCGGCACAATCTGGAGCATGCCTTCAGCGTGGCCGAGCGGCACCTGGGCATCACCCCGCTCCTTGACCCTGAAGGTGAGTCCCCCTGCCTCATTTTCCCCCCCCCTTGGGACATACCCATGGAGGGATAGAAGTGGAACAACCCCAGAGGTGGCTCTGCGTGGGATGTGAATGTGGGGACCCATCAACACCGTGGGATGGTGGCACCCCATTGTGCTGGTTGGGGCTGACACCTCTCTGCCACTGCACAGATGTGTTCACGGAGAACCCCGATGAGAAGTCCATCATCACCTATGTGGTGGCCTTCTACCATTACTTCTCCGAGATGAAGAAACTGGAGGTGAAGGGCAGGAGGCTGGGCAAGGTCAGAATGGTGATGAATTGGGATGGCATGGCATGGCATGGCACTGGAGAGTGCCGGGATGCCCCGTGCTCACCTCTGGCTGTGCCATAGGTCATTGAGCATGCCAAGGAGACCAAGCGGATGATCGAGGGCTATGGGGGCTTGGCCTCCAACCTGCTCACCTGGATCGAGCAGACCATCGTCTCCCTCAACAGCCGCAGCTTCGCTAACTCACTGGCTGGTGTGCAGCACCAGCTGCAGGCCTTCAGCACCTACCGCACGGTGGAGAAGCCACCCAAGTAAGCATTTCTCCCACACCTCCTGCCCGTGTTGAGCACCTGTGGATGCCACAGGCTGAGCTCTCGCTGGCTCAGGTTTCAGGAGAAGGGCAACCTGGAGGTGCTGCTCTTCACCATCCAGTCTCGGATGCGAGCCAACAACCAGCGTGTCTACACACCACAAGAGGGGCGTCTGGTCTGTGACATCAACCGGGTATGGATGCACATGGTGTATTGGGTCCACTGCGGGGTAATTTAGGCCCTTGAGTCTGGTTGTGTCCACCTTGGGGTAGGTTGGGTTCCTCTCGGCATGTGTGAACTTCAGGTAGTTTCGGTCTGTCTGAGCGCATTTCAGATCTTGGGGTAGATAGGGTCTGTGTTGGAGCAGTTCAGGTCTTGTGGCATTTGGGCTTGGTCTTGGGGCATATTGTGTCCATTCTGGAGCATTTTCAGTCCATCCTATAGCATTTAGGCTCTTGGGCCAGGTGAGGTCCACCCTGTTGCAGGTTGTGTCCATCCTGGGTGTTTGTGCACCTGGGTCAAGTTGGGTCCACCCTGGGGCATTTTGGGTCCATGTTGGGGCAGGTTGGATCCATATTGGAGTTGTCCAGGTCCTGGGGAATTTGGGCTTCATCTTGAAACAGTGTGGGCCCATCTTGGGGCAGGTTAGGTTCATCTTGGAGCCAATTCTTAATTAAGAACTTGGGTCATTTGAATTTCCTCCTGGAGCAGGTGGAGTTGAAGTTGGGTCTACCTTTGGGGCATTTAAGGTCTTGGGGCACTTGGGCTTCATCCTAAGGTGGATTGGGTCCATCTTGTGTTGGATTAAGTCCATCAGTGCAGTGCAGTGTGGATCCATCTAGGAGCAGATTGTGTTTCCGCATCGATATTCCCCCACCCTTGTGGCACACTGGGACTCACCAGCAGAGCAAGGCATGGCCAGTGGGACGCGGAACATGTGTCCCACCACCCAACTCTGCCTTTTCCCAGGCATGGGAGAAGCTGGAGAAAGCGGAGCACGAGCGGGAGTTGGCGCTGCGCAATGAGCTCATCCGGCAGGAGAAGCTGGAGCAGCTGGCACGGCGCTTTGACCGCAAAGCAGCCATGCGGGAGGCCTGGCTGAGTGAGAACCAACGCCTGGTGGCACAGGTGGGGCCAGCAAGCACCACTGTGGGGATTGGGGCACCCCGACATTGCCTCACTGCTGGCTTTGCTCCCAGCAGGATAACTTTGGCCAAGACCTGACAGCAGTGGAGGCAGCCAAGAAGAAACACGAGGCCATTGAGACAGACACAGCTGCCTACATGGAACGGGTGCAGGCCATCGATGCAGTGGCGAAGGAGCTGGAGAGGGAGGGCTACCACGACATCAAACGCATCAGGGGGCGCAAGGACAACATCCTGAGGCTCTGGGAGCAGCTCCAGGAGCTGCTGCGCAACCGGCGCCAGCGCCTCGAGATGAACCTCACCCTTCAGCACCTCTTTCAGGAGATGCTGCACAGCATCAACTGGATGGATGAGGTCAAGGTGAGCTGCAGGTGGATGCAAGAGATTCAGAGTCAGCATGAGTATGGTACCTTGGTCCCACCACACAGGGGATCAGTGGGGCTTCTTGGGGAGTCAGAGGTGGTTATGGGGTGTTTGGGTTCTGGAGAAAGATGTGGTGCTTGGAGTGTGCAGCTACCAGCCCCACATTATGCCAGGAAGTGTTGGGTGCAGGAGATGCATCCATGGTTGGGTGAATGCATCACAGAGATAATTTTGGTGCTGGAGTGCTCACCACCTGCTCGTAGTCTGCAATTGACCTCCAGGTATATCACAGGTGCAGCTGGCCTCGTCTGAATCTGGGAAGCACCTCCTTGAGGTGGAGGAGCTTCTGGAGACCCACCGGCTGCTGGAAGGTGACATGGCACTGCAGGCAGAGAAGGTGCGGGCCATCAGTGCTGCTGCCCTCCGATTTGCTGATGCTGAGGGTAGGTGTGCTCCAAGGAGTTGGGAGTGCTCCAGGGGTTGGATGCTCCAAAGTTTTGGGGGTTCCAAGGGTTGGACACTCTGTGGGTTGGGTGCATCAGGGTTGGGTTTCCTGAGGGTTTCTAAGGGTTGGGTTCTCCAAAGGTTGGATGCTCCGAGGGTCTCCAGTGGTTGGGTGCTCTAAGTGTTGGATTTTCTAAGGGTGGGTGCTCCAATGATTGGGAACTTCAAGGATCTCTAATGGTTGGATGCTCCAATGGTTTGGCATTCAAAGGGAGGGTGCTCAAGGGTTTGGGTCCCCCAGAGGTCGGGTTGCTCCAGAGGTGGGTGCTCCAAGTGTGTCTACTGATTGGGCACTCCAAGGGGTGGGCAGTCAAAGGGTTGAGTTCTCCAAGGGTGGGTACTCCAGTTTTTGGGTGTTCCAAGGTTCTTCAGTTTTTGAGTGTACCAATAGTTGAGTCCTCTAAAGGTGGTGTTGCTCCAGAGGTGCATGCACAAGTGTCTTCGGGGTTGAGTGAACCAGGATGCTTCCTGCAGCACACCTTAGGAGCCCCACTAATGCATGCCCCTGCTGCTCCCTGGCCAGGCTACCGTCCCTGTGACCCCAGAGTGATCCGAGACCGTGTGAACCACCTGGAGATGTGCCGGCAGGAGCTGCAGGCACTGGCGGCGAGGCGTAAAGCCCTGCTGGAGCAGTCCCGGGCTGTCTGGCAGTGTCTGCAGGAGCTGGACGAGGCAGAGAGCTGGATCAAGGAACAGGAGCAGATCTACTCAGCGCTGGACTACGGCAAAGACCTGGCAGGTGTGCTGCTGCTGCGACGTCGTCACACTGCACTGGAGGCTGAGCTGGAGGCACAGGGAGCCCGACTGGAGAAGGCGCTGGTGATGGCTGAGCAGCTGGCAGCAGCAGGGCGTGATGCTGGGCGGCTGCGGGACCGGGCAGCTGCCGTGCGGGTACTATGGGACCAGCTGCAGGAGCTGGTGACCTTCCGCCGCCGTGGGCTGCGGGAGGCCGAGGGCTTCTTCCAGTTCCAGGCAGAGGCTGAAGAACTGGCAGAGGTTCTGGCGGAGGCTCGGCAGCAAGCGGCCAGCGAGGAGCTGGGTCACGATGAAGTCCACACGCAGGCACTGCTGCGGGAGCACCAGGAGCTGCTGGAGGAGCTGGCGGCTGCCCAGCATCTCCTGGAGCGCTTGGGTCACCAAGCAGAGGGCTTCCCACCAGAGCTGCGGGCTGGCCCCGAGGCGCACAACCGCCTGGCAGCATTGCAGGAGCTGCACCACGAGGTGAGCACGCTGGCCAAGACGCGTGGCCGAAGGCTGCAGGATGCCCTCAACCTCTACACTGTTTTTGGAGAGAGTGAAGCCTGCCAGCTCTGGATGGGCGCCAAGGAGCGGTGGCTGGAGAAGCTGGAGGTGCCCAACACGCTGGAGGAGCTGGATGTGGTGAAGCACAGGTAGGGTATGGATGAGCTGCCATTTGCTATCATGAGCTCTGGCCAGTTCTCAGCCTGGTGCCGTGAGTTCTCTCTGGTATTCAGCCCAGTGTCAAGAGATGTGGCCAGTTCTCAGCCTGGTGTCATGAGTGCTAGCCAGTTCTCAGCTTGATGTCACGAGGTCTGACCAATTCTCATCCCAGTGCCATGAGCTCTGGCAAGTTCTCAGCCTAGTGCCATGAGATTTGGTCAATTCATAGCCCAATGTCACAAGCTCTGAGCAGTCCGCAGCACAGTGTCACAGTCTGCAGCCAGTTCTCAGCCCCACGCAATGAGCTCTGGCTAGTTCTTGGTACAGTGTCACAAGATGCAGCCCGTTCTCAGCCTGACTTCCCACAGGCTGGATGGGCTGGAGCAGAAAATGGCTGGCGTGGCTTCTCAAATTGATGCTGTCAACCGCTCAGCTGACGGTCTGCTGGAGAGCGGCCACCCACACAGCCCTCAGGTCCGGCAGTGCCAGCAGCAGCTCAATGAGAGGTAGGTCCTGGAGCAGCAAGGGCACCTCACCCCACCGTGCCCCCCACCTTGACCCTCTTGGCCATGCAGGTGGGACCATTTTCGGGAGCTGGTGTCCCAGCGGCGTGCAGCAGTGGGCTCGGCGCTCAACCTGCTCAGCTTCCAACTGGAGTGTGAGGAGACGCGCGCCTGGCTGCTGAGCAAGACGCGGGTGGTGGAGTCCACGAGGGAGCTTGGCCATGACCTGGCTGGCGTCCTGGCCACCCAGCGCAAGCTGTACGGCATCGAGCGTGAGCTGACAGCGGCCGAGAGCCGCCTGGATGCCCTGCGTCCGCAAGCCACCCTCCTGGCCCAGGAGCACCCTGAGTTGGCCGAGGACACGGCAAGGCGGCTGGCAGGGGCGCAGGATGCCATGGACGGGCTGCAGGGTGCCCTGCGGGATCGAGCGGCTGCGCTGGGAGAAGTGGGGCAGCTGCAGAGTTTCCTGCAGGACCTGGATGACTTCCAAGCGTGGCTCTTCAGGGCACAGAAAGCCGTGGCAGCCACTGAAGAGGTGCCGATTTCGGTGGGTGAGGCAGAAGAGCTGCTGCGGAAGCATGCGGCTGCCCGTGAGGATGCCGAGGGGCACGCAGCTGCCTTCACGGCACTGCTGGAGGCAGGCAAGCGGGTGACAAGCAATCAGGAGGACCCTGAGTATGAGCAGCTGCGGGAGCGGCTGCGGGGTGTGGAGGCAGGCTGGGGAGCCCTGCACAAGATGTGGGATGCCCGGCAGCGCTTCCTTGCCCAGTGCTTGGGCTTCCAGGAGTTCCTGCGCGATGCCAAACAGGCTGAGATTCTCCTCACCAATCAGGTAGGTGTGGGACGTGGGGATGTGTGGTAGAGAGCACCCAGGGCACAGCTGTGCCATGCTCTTGCAGTTAGGTTTGTGTGCTTGAGATTGGATCCACACTCAAGGCATGGTTGTGCCGTGCACGTAAGGTGGGGTCCATGTGATGGAGAGCGCTCAGATTGTGCCATGCTGTTGGGCTTGGATCCGTGCAGCAGAGAGCACCCACAGCATGGTTGTGCCATGCATTTGGGGTTGGGTTCAAGCAGTGGAAAGCATCCAGGGTGTGATTGTGCCATGCTCTTGAGATTGGGTCCATGCTCTTGGGGTTGGGTCCTTGCAATGGAGAGCCCCAATGGGCACGGTGTCCCTCCCCATCACAGGGGAGGACTGATGGAGCCCTGATAAGATGCTGAGCCCCCTGTGCCCTCTAGGAATACACGCTGGCCCACCTGGAGTTACCCCCCACACTGGAGGGTTCCACAGCTGCCCTGCGCCGTTTTGAGGATTTCCGTGCCTCCATGGAGAGCAGCGCTGAAAAAGTCCCTAGTGTGGTGACCAGTGGCTCCAAGCTCGTGGCAGAGGGAAATATCTTCTCTGAGAAGATTAGCGAGAAGAACCAGGCCCTGCAGGAGCGGTGAGTGGGTGAGGGGCCAATGGGCAGCACTGTGGTGTGGCAGTGGGGTGATGTCTGTGCTTGTGTCCCCATGCCAGGCACAAGGCGAATGTGGCCAAGGCAGAGGAAGCAGCGGGCTTGCTGCAGGACAACCACAAGCTGCAGAGCTTCCTGCAGAGCTGCCGAGAGGTGGGTGAGCAGCACGGTTGGTGGCACAGTGGAGTGCCCATGACCGAGCCATGACACACTCACCCTGCCTGCAGCTCACTGCTTGGGTGGATGAGAAGATGCTAACGGTGCAGGATGCATCCTATGGAGATGCACGTGGTCTGCATGGCAAGTGGCAGAAGCACCAAGCCTTTATGGCAGAGCTGGCAGCCAATGAGGCATGGCTGGAGAAGATCAAAGTGGTGAGTCCCGGTGAGGTGAGATGGCTATATGCCATGGCCTGGGGATGTGGTGCTCACTGAGCTCATCACTGTGCCAATAGGAGGGCATGGAGCTGGCAAGCTGCAAACCACAGTACGGTGCAGTGGTGGGCCGGCGGCTGGACGAGCTGCAGGCGCTGTGGAATGGGCTACACAGCGCTGCCACAGAGAAGGGCCAGCAGCTCTTTGAGGCCAACCGCACTGAGCTGTACGCCCAGAGCTACAGTGATCTGGAGCGCTGGCTGGGGCAGGTAGAAGGCGAGCTGCACAGCACGGAGCGTGCCAAGGACCTCACCGGGGCCAACTTACTGCTCAAGAAGCTGACGGTGCGTGGCATGGGGATGGGGTGTTCTGGCATGAGGAATGACGTCAGGCATGGGACCTGATGGTGTTCCCCTCCCAGCGGCTGGAGGAGCAGGTGGCGGCACGACAGGAGGAGCTGGTGGAGCTGAAAGCACCACTTGCTGGGGTCACACCAGAGCCTGATGGGCAGGAGGAGAAGCTCCAGCAGCGATTCCTTGACCTGCTGAAGCCTCTGGAGAAGAAGAGGAAGGAGCTGGAAACTTCCAAGGCGATGTACCAGCTAGGGAGGGACCTGGAGGACGAGATGGTGAGCACCATGGTGGCAGTGGGGGCTGCAGGGCTGGGGCTGCAGGGCTAGGGGCATACATTGCTGAGCAGATGCTCTTGTCCTCAGTTATGGGTGCAGGAGAGGATGCTATGGGCCAGGTCAACCGAGCACGGCACCAACCTCCAGAGCGTGCAGCGTTTGGCCAAGAGGAATGAGGTGAGTATGCTGCCATGGCACCCACTGTCCTACCCAGGGAGGTGCGGTACCACACACAGCCCGTAAGACCCTGACCCCACTGCAGACTCTTCAGAAGGAGCTGCAAGGCCATGCCCCCCGCCTGGCCGAGGTGCTGGAACGTGGTGAGGCAGCTGCTGAAGGATCCTGCCCAGAGCTGGCGGAGAGGGCACGGGAGTTGCGGGCACAGTGGGAGGCGCTGAGGGAAGAAGTGGCTGCTCGACAGCAGAGGCTGCGGGAGGCCAGCGAGGCCCAACAGTACTACCTGGATGCTGGCGAGGCTGAGATGTGGGTCAGCGAGCAGGAGCTTTTCATGGGAGATGAGGAGAAGCCGAAGGTGAGGGTGGCTCTGCATTGTTTGCCAGTGTCTTCTGTGGACTCCGTGCCATGCAGTGTCCTACATGCCGTCCTGTGTTGTTATGCCCCATCCCATGCCATATTGTCCCATGCTGTGCCAGGACATGCCATCTTGTGGCGTGTGTCATTGTGTGCCATCTATCCGTCCCCTGTCAGTACATGCCATCCCATGCCGTGCTATACTGTCCACACCTTGCCATGCCATCCCACACCATGCTATGCCATTACACAATATCCTGTACCGTGAGATGACTCTAGAGTCATGTCATGCCATGCTGTGCCATCATTTGCAGTCTTATGGAATATCATGCTGTGCTACTGCGTGCTGTCCCATGTACTGCCATGAGTGGCACACTATGCCATGCCATCACACATCATCCCATGCCACACCATCACCATGTTGTTACAGGTCATCTTGTGCCATCAGAAGTCATCCCATGCCATGCTATGCCTTGCCATGTCATAGCATCCAATGCCATTATATGCCTTTTCATGCCATGCCATGGCATCCTATACCATGCAATTACACTATCCAACCCCATGCTGTGTGTGCCTTTACACACTAACACATGCCATGATATGCCATCCCATCCCAACACGCAGTATCCTATCACATGCCATCATGTGCCGTTACATTGCATTCCGTGCCATCCATTGCATACCACACCGTGCCATGATGAGCCCACCATTGCTTCCTTCTGCACTGGAGGGAGGTGGAACAATTCCGCAGGGTGGGCACTAGGGTTGAACCCTGGTCACCATCTCTTGGCCATGCCATATATTGACTTTTCGTTGGTGCCCTTCCTGCTGCAGGACGAGGAAAGTGGTTTGGTGATGCTGAAGAGACACGTGAGGCAGCAACGCTCCATTGAGGACTATGGGCAGACCATCAAGGAGCTGGCGGGGAGGGCTCAGCAGCTGCTCTCTGCTGGCCACCCTGAGGGGTAAGTGTAACCATCCATGTCCCCATCCTGAGGACAGCCCCATGGCTGCAGTGCCCGGATGAGATGGCACTTCAGTGACACTCACTGACCTGAGTGGTAGCAGTGGAGGGATGTGGGGAGCCCATCTGTGGGGGGTCCTTCTGAAAAAAAGGCCTGAGACATGGCAAGACCAGCAGGTTTGGGTGCAAACTGAGATGTCTGTGTGCCTGGGGCCACGCAGGGAGCAGATCATCCGGCTGCAGGGCCAGGTGGACAAGTATTACGCGGGGCTGAAGGAGGCGGCCGAGGAGCGCCGGCGGCGCTTGGAGAACATGTGCCACCTCTTCCAGCTGAAGCGTGAGGTGGAGGACCTGGAGCAGTGGATTGCTGAGCGTGATGTGGCAGCCTCCTCCCAGGAGCTGGGGCAGGACCTGGACCATGTCACGGTGAGCCCACTGGCATGTGCATGGTGGTGGAGGTGGTGATGAAGATAAAAAAGGTGATGGTGGTGATGGAGGTAGAGTCAGCGATGGTGGTGGTGGTGATGGAGATTGTAGAGGAGATGGTGATTAAAGTGATGGTGATAGGGAAGATGGAGACAGCAGTGGAGATGGAGCTGAACATGGAGTTGGAATTGGAGATGGTGATGGTGGTGAGATGCTGAGATGGTGAGATGGTGATGGTAGTGAGATGGTGGTGGAGATAGAGATGATGATGGAGATGTTAGTGGTGATGGAGATGATGGTGATGATTGCATCGGAGAGGGTAGTGATGGTGATGATGGAGATGATGACAGTGGGTCATTTTTGGGTGGTGAACCCATCTTTTCTTTCCCACCTCAGATGCTGAGGGATAAGTTTCGGGAGTTTGCACGGGAAACAGGCAACGTAGGACAGGAACGTGTGGACCAGGTCAACCTGGCCATCGAGGACCTCATCGATGCGGGGCACGCTGAGGCTGCCACCATAGCTGAGTGGAAAGACGGTCTGAATGAGAGCTGGGCTGACCTGCTGGAGCTGATTGACACACGCATGCAATTGCTGGCCACCTCCTATGATCTGCACAAGTACTTCTATGATGGCTCTGAGCTGCTGGCCCTCATTGCTGCCCGCCACCAGGAGCTGCCCCAGGACCTGGGTGATGACTCAGGTTCAGTGGAGGCTTTCCATCGCATGCACAGCGCCTTTGAGCGTGACCTCCAGCTGCTGGAGGGGCAGGTGCAGCAGTTTCGAGAGGTGGCAGCTCGCCTGCAGACTGCCTATGCTGGGGAGAAGGCAGTCAGCATCCAGCAGCAGGAGCAGGAGGTGGCACGGGCGCTGCAGGCACTGCTGGAAGCATGCAGCGGACGCCGGGCGCAGCTGGTGGACACAGCCGACAAGTTCCGCTTCTTCAGCATGGCGCGTGACCTGCTCTCCTGGATGGAGAACACTGTGCGGCAGATCCAGACGCAGGAGAAACCCAGGTAGGTGCAGATGGGTGGGGGGTCCCACTTCCCTGCTCACCAGTAGGGCACAACCTCAACATCTCCATCAACTCTCAGCACCACCATTTCCAACATCTCCGTCCTCCATCTCCGTCTCTTCTCCCAAATCTCTTCCCCCTACATATCTGTCCTCTGACGTCTCCATGCACAACATCTCTAGCCCCCACCTCCATCCCTTGACGTGTCTATCTCCATCCCACAACATCTTCATTCCCCACTGTCTCCATCCAACCATCTCCAACCTCCTATACCTCCATCCCCAACATCTCCGCTCCTCTTCTCCATCCCCTCAAATCTTTGACCCACAAAATCTATGTTTCCCAACACTGTCACTCCCAACAGCTCCATCCTCAACACTTCCATCCCCTTGACGTTCTGTATCCCCAGCATCTCCATGCCTCATATTTCCATCCCCCTGACATCTCCATATCCCTGACAATTCCATATCCTCAACAACTCCATTCCCAACCTCTCCCCCCAGGGACGTTTCCTCGGTGGAGCTGCTCATGAAGTACCACCAAGGCATCCATGCTGAGATAGATGCCCGTGACAAGAGCTTTGCTGCCTGCATTGAACTAGGCAAGAAGCTGCTGCAGCGCAAACACCGGGAGTCACCTGAGGTGGGTAACAGCCCCTCGGGGTGGGGAGACAGTAGGAAAGGACCTCCTCATGATAGCCACCCCTTGCAGATCAAAGCAAAGCTGATGGAGCTGCTGGACAGGAGGAAGGCCATGATGGAGATGTGGCAGCAGCGGTGGGACCGGCTGCAGCTGTGTGAGTGCAGTGATGGGGTTTGGGTCAGCTGTGCGGTTTTTGGGGTCCCCCTGCTGGGGGGCTGAATGCTGTCCCTTTCCCGCAGTGCTGGAGGTGTGCCAGTTCTCCCGGGATGCCTCAGTGGCTGAGTCGTGGCTGATGGCACAGGAGCCATACCTGGCCAGCAGCGACTATGGGCAGACGGTGGATGCGGTGGAGAAGCTGCTGAAACGACACGAAGCCTTTGAGAAGTCCACAGCCACGTGGGAGGAGCGCATCGCTGCCCTGAGGAAGCTGACGACGGTGAGCTGGTGGCCCTTTGGGTGGCAAGAGGACATGGCTGGATTCCCACTGATTTCCATATCCTCTTCCCTGGCAGCTGGAGCTCATGGGTGGGCGGACACTGCAGGAGAAGGATGTGGTGCATGACACTGCTCCTGAACATCATCTGGATCTGGATGCGGAGCTGCAGGCAGGGTAAGGGGGTGTAGTTCTCATGTCTCTAAATGACAGCACCTTCCCTTGAAGCAGGGAATTTTTAGCAATACACCTTTTCTGAGCAAAAGCCATGCAAGCAAAGCAGCTGACCCACAGCACTGCTCCTTTCTGGGGCTTTTAATTCTCGTAAGAAAGCACAAAAGCCCCAGGTTCATGCCCCTGACTCACAAATCCACTGCTATACTGATTTTGGGGGTTTCCTCTATTCCCACCTCCATCCTTTGGGATGCTGAGCACCATCTCCATCTGCAGGTCTGAAGAGGAGGAGGAGAAGAGGAAGGGAGTGATCCCTCAGGAAATCTCTCCACCTGCTGTCGATGGACCCCAGCCGGTCAGTTCTGCCTTTTAGCTTTCTCCTTCCCCAGAACCAGGGACCCCATGGCCCCACCATGCCAACTGCTGCCCCTGGACATGTCCCTGCAGATATCCCTTGGTCCCTGTCCCTTTATGCTCTCCCTCCCATCCTGCAGCAGGAACAGACACAACCCGTACCTCCAGCCCTTTGGCTGTTGCTTGCATTGAATTGAATAAATTTTGAATGACCCCAAATCATCAGGCAGGCACAAGGGCAGTACCTTTGCCAGAGTGCGTCCCATGGATGGGAGCCCAGGGGGGGGCTCAGGGTGGTTGGCAGACGCTGGCACCCATGGGTGCACAGGGCAGAGACAGAGCCAAACACTCTGGAGCAGACAGATCCCTACTGGCATTTGTCCCAGGAGTAACCCCCAAGTCACAGAGACACTGCATGGCCACCACCACATGGCACCCAGCTGTTCAAGCTGGCTCTGTCCTGGCTTGGAAGGGACAACTGGCTTCTTGGGGACAAGGGCACGTGGTGATGGTGCTCCTGGTTGGATGTGCCTGTGTTGGTTCCCTCCTTTGTGTCCTTGGAGCATGGTCACCCCAAGGGGATATCGCCCCATGGGCATCATCACCTCAAGGGACATCACTGATCTGCAAGGCATTGACTACCCTGCAAGGCATCGTCACCCCATAAGGATGTCACCCTATGAGGCATCATCGATGCCTGGAGGTATCACCAACCTCTGGGGATTACCCTGCAAGATGTCATCGCCCTGTGCTGCATCGTCACTCCATGTCACTCTATGGGACATTGTAACCCCATGGGGGCGTCACCCTGGAAGACATCACCCTATGGAGCATCATCACCCCAAGGGGCATCATAACCCCATGGGGACATCACCCTATTGGACATCATCACCCCAAAAGTCATTGTCACCCCACAAGGCACTGCCACCCTCTGGCATTGTCACCCTCTGTGCTGCCACTTCATGCTTGCTGCCACTCTCTCTGCTCCTTGCTGCCTGCTTGGGGACAGGAGTTGCTTTCTGATTGTTCTGCCTGCTTGGGGACAACAAACCCTACTGCCTCTCCTGCCCACTTGGGAACATCTGGCTCTCTGGGGACATCTTCTGGCTCCTTGGGGACAAGATCACTTCTGGGGACAGGGATCCCCAAGTTTCTATTGGGGGACAAGATTACTTCTGCTGCTTGGGAAGAACTTCTATCTCCTTGGGAACAGGGTCTGCCTGATTTGGGACAAGACTGCTTCCTGCAAGCTTGGGGACACTAAGCTTGTCCTCCCTGGGGACAGTCACCTGGGGGCAGCCTCCTGTATCCTGTTCCCTTTGGTGGGACACGCCACAGGCACTCCCCGTGGCTCACTGCTGCCATCTCCAGCAAAGGCCTGAGACCACCACCACGTGAAGGATACGATTGCCATGCTCCGGATCCAACCATGCTTCTTCCCAAAGCCTCACCCTGAGCATTTCATCCACCGCGTGTCACTGTCCCCAAGCACTGGCACCATATTCAGAGGTCCCATGCCGTGGTGGCTCCCAATGGCTGCCAGCTCCCATGCGTCACCAAGTGTGGGGTGGCCATTCCCAACATTGGTACCTGTGTTTCACGTGTCCCCAGTGGGGATGGCACAATGGGGAGGTCCCATGGGAGGTGGCTTCCTGGGAGGTGACAGCAGTGGGGGTGGGCAGTGACGTGGCTGTTGCTTTGCAACAGCTGATAGTGCCCGAGGAGGAGCCCATAGCACCACGGGAAGAGGTAGCCACATTGCCTGCCCAGCCTGCCCACGTTCAGCTGGAGGGCTACCTGGGCCGCAAGCACGACCTGGAGGCGGCCACCAAGCGTGCATCCAACAGGTAGGCACAGCACAGTGGCCACCCATGGCTGCGGAGGTGGTCCAGTTGTGACAGAGCTGCCCACAGGTCGTGGAGCACGCGGTACTGCGTGCTGCGGGGTGAGGAGCTTGCCTTCTTCAAGGATGCCAAAAGCCGGGCACTGGGGGTGCCCTGCCAGGGTGAGGAGCCCCTGGGGCTGCGCAACGCACGCTGCCAGGTGGCTGCTGGCTACAAGAAGAAGAAGCACGTCTTTGCGCTCAGGTATGGTCTGATGTGGTTATGGCATGGAGCTGCATGGTTATGGCATGGAGCTGCATGGTTATGGCAATATACAGCACGGTTGTGGCACTGTACGGCATGGTTGTGTCATGGCATGGCATTGGCGCGGTGAGCCACAGGGTGGCAGATGTCTCACCACCAGCTGTGCTCTGCCCCCAGGCTCAGCAATGGCAGCGAGTGGCTCTTCCATGGCAAGGATGAGGTGAGGGGTGTCCTGGGGGCATTGGGTGGCCAACAGGATGTTGGGGTGGCCAAGGGGACAAAGAATGGGGTGGCCAGGGGACATTGAGGTGGCCAGAGGTGCCCAAGCAAGTAAAGGTTCTCCACAGTGGTGCATGGGGGGCTGGAGGGTGGCCAGAGGGATCTTGGCATGACCAGCAGCACCTAAGGGTACCTTAGGGTGGCCAAAGGGGTATGCAGAGGTGACCTGTGATACCCAAGGGGACGTAAGGGCAGCCATGGGACATTGGTGTAGCCAACGGTACTCAAGGGGACAAAAGATGGTTAGTAACATCCAGGGGAATATTGTGTTGGCTAGTGGTAGCCAGAGGGCATTGGGGTGATCAGAGGTGTATAGAGGTACATAGTGCTGCTCAGAGAGACATAGGGCAGCTGTGGGATGTGAGCAGGGTGAGAGGTGTGCAGAGGAATATGCTGGGGCAATGGGTGACACAGGTAGGCCATGGGACATGAGGGTGGCTGGAGGGGCCCAAATCGATAAGGGCTGGCCAGTGGTGCCTAGGGGATGCTGGGGTAACCAGAGGTGCCCGAGTGGGACTTGGTGGTGTTCACTGATGCCTAGTGGGACATAAAGTGACCATGGGACATTGATTAGAAATACCCAAGAGGGACACGGTGGTACCCAGGGGGACATAGCATGGCCACGGGACATTGGGGTGAGCAGAGGTGCCCAGCAGGGACACTAGTGGCTGGTGACGCCCAGGGGACACTGGGTGTCTTGGCGCTCCCGGGTCAAGCCGTGGGGCGACCCCCAGGGCCATGGGGTGCCAACAGCCCCATGCCCCTCCAGGAGGAGATGCAGACGTGGCTGCAGGGGCTGCACATGGCCATCACCTCCTGTCAGAACCTGCCGGCCAAGGCGCGCAGCCTGCCCCCACCCCACGCCCCCCCCTGAGCCCCGACGGGACAAGGAGAAGCGCTTCAGCTTCTTCCCCAAGAAGAAATAACAAGGGGGGGGGGGCAGCCCAGCACGTACGCAAGTGCGCACGTGTATATATATATATATATTTATAGATATTTATATTTATATATATACACACATCTCCATGCTTCAGGGCATGCACGCACCTCAGTGGAGGTGCACGCACAGATACGCACACGTGTGTGCTCACATCCCCCACCCCCCTGGGGAACACACCTGTGTGTGTTTGCACTCGCGTGGCCCCGCATGCATGCACATGCACCCACTCCACGTGGGCACATCCTGGCCCCCCACCCCCTTTTCTAAGCCATAAGCCCTCCCACCCCCCCCTCCTACCAGCGTGCCCTCAGCCCCATGGGCACCAACCAAAGAGCACGAAGAGCACGACCTCCCCAAATGCTTGGCCCCTTGCTGTGGGTGGGGGGCACCACTCATCTCTGGGGGGAGTGTGCGGGCAGGGAGAACTTTGGGTTTGGTTTGGGTTTTTTTTGTAATAAAGATGTCAAAGCAAGGTGGCCCAGGGCTGTGCAATGTGAGGGCCCCTCCGGGAAGTAGGGTGGGGGACCATGGTCTCTTTCATGTATTGGTGGCCTATGGGGTGATTCCTCTCCTGATGGTCCACGAGGTCCCCCTTATCCTGGGGAAACAAAAGGTTCATGGAGTCCCACTGCTGCTGGTGGTAGGGAGTCCCAGTTCCTGGTGGTCAAGGGACATCCCAATCCCCAGTGGTCCATCATGGGGTGCTCTATCTCCTAAGCAAGCTGGGTTCCATTGTATGCCCCTTCATGGGGTCCATTGGGTACAACTTCTCCCAAGTCAGCTGGGTACCCTTTGGTCTGAGTGAGCTGAGGAGAAGGGTTGTCTGTGGGATGTCCCATCTGCTGATGGTGCAAGGTGCCTTCAGTCTCCTGGTGGTGCATAGGATGCCCCATCTTCCAGTGGTCTACGGGGTGCTCCATCACCCAGGGGTTCATAGACTGTCCCATCTCCTGGTGGTCCGTGGGCTGCCCCATCTCCTGGCCGCCCTCCCTAGCTGGCAGTGTCGAGGGTCTGAAACTTCTGCCGCAGGTCCCTGACGAGGCCGTGCCGGGGGGGCTCAGGTGCCTCAGCCTGGCCTTGGGCACAGCGCTGCCGGTACTCCTCGGAGGCCTGGTAAGCCTTGCAGCGCTCCACCACTGCCTTCAGGCAGATCTTCTCCCGGGTGGTGGGGGAGCGGATCTGCACATAGGCTGGGGGCTCAGCAGCGATGGTGGGGGGCAACCGCTCCAACACCAGCACCCGCTGCCCCCCGGGGCCCAGAGGTGCCTGCGCCGTCACCCACAGCCCCGCAGCATGCTGGTGCTCATTGCCGCGTGGCACTTTTGGGGTCCCAGTGCCTGCCTCAGCGCTGCGGCTGCGGCCCCCACCCTGCTGCTCTTTGGCTGCTGGTCTCCCCCCACGCTCTGGCCCCTCAGGCGCAGAGCGGCTGCGCGTCACCGGTGGGGGCCGTGGGGCTCCAAAACGGGCACACAGCTCCCGGACATCTGGCCAGGAGAAGGCTTCGGCAGTGCCACTGGGGCTGGGTGGGCTGCGTGGGGCTGGGATGGTGATGCCATCCCTGGGTGACACCGGCAGCTTTGGTACACCTGGAGTGGAAGGAGCAGGGTGAGAGCTGGATGGCAGTAGCGGGACGATGCCTGCGGTCCCCCGTCGCATCCCACCCGGTTCTGGGGTGTGAGAGGCATTGTCCCCCGGTGCAATGATGGCACGGCGTCGACTCTTGATGCGCAGGCTGTATTGGCGCGCCAGCTGGTACACCCTGCTGGTGAGACGTCGAGGGGGAGCCCCTAGAGCCAGCACCTCTGGGGGAGGCACCTCCTCTTCCTCCAGGATGAGCAGAGGTTCTGCGGGAGGCTCGGGCAGCCCATTCTCTCGGCACACAGGAGGTGACACTCCTCCATCCGGCTCCGGTGACACTTGGGGACTTGCTGGTTCCAGTGACGTTTTGGGGCTCACTGGTTCTGGGGAGCTTCTGGGGCTCCCTGGCTCCAGGAGGACTTTGGGGCTCACTGGCTCCGTGGGAGTTTTGGGGCTGCCTGGCTCCAGAGGAGGCCAGCTGTTGATCCTGGACACCGAGTTCCTCACCAGTCCTTTGGGGATGTAGGAGAGGCTCTCACGGCGCCGGATGCTGAAACCAGCGTCCTGGTGCTCCGCATGCTCGTAGTAACTGCGGATCTTACGCAGCAGCAGCCGGTCCTGGGTGGAGAGCAGCGAGCGGCGCCGGCAGCCCTGGGGGGAGCCTGGGGAGGGCAGGGGGCTGCAGGACTCCATGTTTTCTTGTGGAGGGGTCACCCCATCAAGGCTGAGGGTGCTGCCGCTGCGTCCATCCAGCACCATGCTGCCACGGCGTGACATGCTGCTGCCAAAGCGCTCAGCAATGACGCTAGCCTGGTCCAGCACGGAGGGGGGCAGGATGCTGCCACTCCCATGGCCTTCCTCCTCCTCCTCTTCCTCCTCCTCCTCGCTGCTGAGAGCCCGTGGGTCCTCCCCGGTGCCTGTCTCTGGGTGCTGCTCCTCCTCGTCAGGCAGCCCCGCTGGTGGGAGGGATCCCGATGGAGAGGGGGAAGTGGGGGTCCCCAGCCCCTCATGTTCCCCGTGGCATGGAGGGGACACAGGGGTGGCAGTGGCCTCATGGTGCTGCTCACAGGTCTCCTGCAAGAAGAAAGGTTGAGGGAGCTGCAGCAGTGAGGATCACAACACTTGCAGTGTGCTCCTTAAGTGATGTGGGCCATCCCAAGGGTGAGGATACCTGCTCCTCCTGGGGCTTCTCTCCCATGTCCCCATTCTCGTCCCTGTCCCCATCCTCGTGGCTGTCCTTGTGCAAAGGCTCCTCTTCTTCCTCTTCCTCCTCCACGACATCCTCAGCCCAGCTCCTAGGGGGCTGGAGGGGTTCCCCAGCATCCAGGAGGGTCCCCTCACTGCCTGCATGCTGGGTGGTGGGGAGGGAGGCAAGGGCTCAGCACCTACTTGGTGCTGCCAAGGGGGGCAGTCCCCCACCACCCAGCTTTACCTTCATCCTTCCCAGCTGCTGCAGGATCTGCTTGGCGGGCTCTGTGGGGACACACAGTAGTGTCACGGAGCTGCAGTGGCACTGTCCCCAAGTCCCCCACCCATCCCCAATCCCCATCCGCACCTGACTGCCTGCGCCCCACATGCCCCTGCAGTCGGTCCGGCAGCGTCTCAGCACGGTCACGACACTGGAAGGGCTCTGGTGGGTCGGAAAGCATTTGGGGAAGATACACAGATCAGCACAGTGCTATCACCACAAGGGCTATGGGGACATGGGGACACTCACCAGACTGCCGCCGGCCATGGCGTGGTGGCTCTAAGGGTTGGCAGGAGTGGCTCCGGGGCAGGTGCTCAGGGCTGCAGCGGGGCAGGCGGGGGGGGGTCTGCATGGACAGCAGAGTGATGAGGGGGGTGTGAGAACAGTGGGGGGCAAGGGGACAGCAGGTGACATGGGGATAGTGGGGAATGACTGGCACATGGGGGCAATGAGGGGCAAAAGAATATGGGGTCAATAGGGGATAAGAGGACAACGGCAGATGTGGAGACGGTGAGGGACATGGGGATGATGGGGACAAGAGGTCAGTGGGGATGATAAGAAACATAACGACAGTGGGGAACATGGAAATAATGGTAGACAATGGTGACAGTGCAGATATGGGGTCAGTGGGGGGACAGTGGTGGACAAGGAGACAGTGGGGACAATGGTGGGCATGGGGACAAGGAGGATGATGGGAAATGATGGGGGACAGCGAGAGACAAGGGGACAACGGGGGACATAGGAGCACTCACAGAACAGGTCCATCTCCAGGATGGCCTCCTTGGCCTGGTGGGGGGAGAAGCCATGGGTCAATCGGTGGCAGAAGGTGGCACCGCAGGATGTCCCCACCACCAAGACATAAATGGGGTGACACGAGGGTGTGTGCCCTCACCTTCTGTGGCACAATGGCGTGATGGTTCTCCAGGATGAGCCGCTTGATGTGGTGTGTCCATACCCGCTTCTCCTCTGCGCTCTTAGCCTGGGGTGGGGGCAACGGCAGCATTAGGTGGGAAGGGAGTCCCACCACCCCCCACCCCATATGCCCCATGTCCCCTACCTGCAGGGCATACTGCTGCTTGATGTGCTTGTAGTGTGCCACGCTGAAGCACAGCGAGTCCCGCGTGCTCTCAATCAGCATCAGCGAGGCGCACTGCGGAGAAAGTGTCAACAACACTGTGTCCACCTCCATGCCCTCAATGCCCACCCTAGAACCTCCATACTCACTCCGGGACTCCTGTGCCCCCCCCTTGAACCCCACTGCCCCCACTCAGGACCTCAGCATCCACTCCTTGAACTTACTGCCCACCTCCGTGCCACCCATACATGCCACCAGGACCTCAGTGTCCACCTCTGGGACCTCACTGCCCACATCCATGGGATACCTGTGCCCCCTCTACGCCCACTGCTTGAACCCACTGCCCATTCCGAGACACCCATATCTACTCCCATACCCCCACTGCTCACCCCTTGGAACTGTTCCCAATCCAAGAATCCTCATGATCCCCCCGTGCTCTCAGTGTCCACACCTGGGACCACATTACCAACCTCCAGGACCCCATAACCCACCCTTGGACCACAGTTCCAAACCCTGGCACCCTTGTGCCCACCCCCACACCCCCAGTGCTCATCCCTTGCAATCCATTGCTCACTACCAAGGCCCCTGTGCCCACCTCCTGGATGCTCTACACCCACTCCTTGGAGCCCACTTCCCAACCCTGGAACCCACGGTCACCCCCAGGAACCCCATGCCTATCCTAGACCCCCATAATCCCACTGGGACCCTGTTCCCACCCCCTGGACTCCTACACCCACCCCCATGACCCCTACACCTACTGCCAGGACCTGTGCCCAGCCTTGGACCCCACTGCCCACCTCTGGGACTCCTTCCCCACCCTTTGTGCCCACCCCTCAGAGCCAATTCCCAACCCTGGGACCTGTGCTCAAACTTTGTACCACTTTGCCCACCCCCAAGTCCCCCAGACTGGCTGCGGACACGCACTGGGATGTGGCTCTTGTAGACATAGTGGTCCCCACGGCGCTTGGTGATGAGGAGCAGCTTGTCGAAGAGGAAGACAGCACGCTCACTGCGGGCACGCTGCGCACGGAAGGAGCCTTCCAGTACCAGCTCTCCATAGGTGGTGAGGTCGGGGCCCTTCCACTGCAGCAGCAAGGACTGGATCTCCTGCTGCCGGATGGCATGCTCATGCTTGCGCTTCATGTCGTTGATGTACCAGGCCACACAGGTCATGGTGTCGATGGCCTCCACCACCACCTCATAGTCATCACCCGACTTGTGCTCAAAGTGCTTAGCGATCTCCTGCAGGAATGTGGTGGGTACACACGTCATGGGAATGCACCCTTGTTGTGTCACGGACACGTGCTATACCAAGTGCCCAGACCATCAAAGGTGCCCATCTTGAATCATGGAGGTGTACTGTGCCATCATGGATATGTGCCCAGGCTGCATCAAGGAGACGTGCCACACCAAGTGCCCAGACCAACAAAATATGCCCATGTTGTGCCATGGACACGTGCCACATCAAGTCCAAGTGCCACGGTCACGTGCCATGGAGATGTGCCATGTCAAGCACCCATGGAATCAAAGCGTGCCAAAGTTGTGCCATGGAGACATGCCACAATGAGCATGCCATGTCCCACACTGTGCCAGATGCCTGTGCCATGCCATGAACTCCCATCACACAGTGTGCCAGTGAAAATGAGCCACGATGGGTCTGGCTGTGCCACGAGGATGGGCCATGCCAGGTGCTCCAGCCATGCCCCACACGTTGCCAAAAGCCATGCTACGTGCTCCCAGCACACCAGGTACCTGTGCCGTGCCCAGTACCCGCGCCACATGTGCTCACCTGGAGCAGCAGGTGGTATTTGAGGATCCTCTGCACCGGCTTCAACAGGTAGGCACCCAGTGGGAGCACATGCCGCATCTCCTCCTGGCACTCACGGAAAAAACGTGCCTGCTGCTTGCTCCTCATGCACTCACTTAACGTTGCCACTGAGCTGCAGAGCGCAGAGAGGGCTCAGCCCCATGGCACCCAATCCCATAGCACCCAGCCCCCACAGCATCCAACCCCATTGACCTCGAGCACCCACTCACTTGGGGTAGTTGTTGCAGTACTGCGTGTAGATGTCAAACTCTTGGCTCTGCGGGCAGTGGGAATGTGGTGAGAGCTGGGCGCTACGTCCCCATTCCCACACATCCCCCTGCATCCCCCCGTTCCCTTACCCGCGTCACGAAGCAGACAGCCACGGCCACTGGGTCACAGGCACAGCTCTCCAGGCTCTGCAGCAGATTGCTGGGTGCAGAGAACAGCAGGTGACCATAGGGGTGACCGGAGCATTCCCCTTATGGCAGGTGTTGGTGCCACCATGGTGCCACTCACCTGCTGAGCTCATAGATGTCTTCAATGTTCCCAAAGAGTGCGCTGACCTGCTCCGGCCGCAGCGGCGGCTCTTGAGCATCAATGATCTTCCCCAGGTAGCCCTACAGGGACACTCAGTGGCACCAAGTGACCAGACTTTGTACCATGATGCCCACCCTGCAGCTCGCTCACCTCCACGATGCCACGCAGGTCACGGGCGTAGGTGCGCTCCGACTCCACAATCTCCAGCAGCACACGCTGTAGGTACGAGGGCTCCTCGCCTCGCCGGCACAGCCACCCCACTGGTGCCGCATTGTTGTTGCTGTTGCCCAACCAGGACTCCTTGCCATCACCCGATGCCTCCTCCTCCATGCCGGGATCTGGACCCGCACCGAGGGTGGGCACCGGCATCCCCAGGCTCTGTGGGTGAAGGACAAGGTCACAGCGGGGTTGACCTGATGGCTGGTGCTCACCACCCCTCTACCATGGGGAACCCTGCTCCATGTCACCATGTCCCATTGGATACTACCAAAGCCACCGTAGCACCCAAAGCCCAAACACGAAGGAGGAAGGCTGCCGAAATACTGATGACAAGGGGCAACCCAGGATTGACCTGATGGCCAGTGCTCTCCATGCCACCACTCCATGTCACTGCCTGTTGCTCTCCAGTGCCAGCAGTCCACCCAAAACCCAAACACTGAGCAGGAAGATTGCTGAAATGGTGACGGGGCGGGGACAACGGGAACAACGGCAACGACACTAGGGAAAGGCTGGACGGTGACCTTCAGCCACGTCCACGTGCCGGTGTCGAGGTCCTCCCCCCAGGCACCGGAACGGGCGCAAAACGGGACTCGAACCGGTCCGGCCGGTTCCCTCGACTCCTCCCGTGCCGCATGGCCGCGTTCCACCATCGCCCTCAGATCAGTGCCCCCCGGGAGGGCACGGCCGTGGGGCAGCCGTCCTCGCAGGCGGTTTGGGGCTCTCCGACCCACAGCTCCGCTCGCCCCACGGCCACCATAATCCGCTCAACTCCGGGATTACGGCGCGGGGCCGACGTCACGGGGCGGGGGGGTGATGCCGTGCCCCCCTTCCCGCTGCTGCCAAAGCCTCCGCCGGGGGATTTAACTCTGACCTCAGACCCCCGACCGTCCGGGTGCCCCCACCCCCTCAGCGCCCCGCAGATGAAGAAACTGAGGCAGCGGGGAAATTCTGCGTGGGGAACGAGTTGCCAGGCCCGCAGCCCGTCGGAGGCTGGCTGGAGCCATATAAGGGCAGGCGCTTCACCAATTCCCTGCTTTTTTTGTCCTGGATTCCGGCGGCCTCACGGCCGCGGAGCAGTGCCGGGGTGACGCCATGGGGTTGGGGTCCCGACGGCCGTCCCAAACGCACGCGCTCCCTCCTGGATCCTGCCCCACCTCTTTGGGCGTCCCACAGCTTCCTGCCCCGCAGCGACCCCCAGGACCCGTGGCCTCTCGCCCCGCAGGAACACACAGTCCCCAGCCCCACCAGGACCCACAACACTGCGCAGCCCGTGACCCGCAGACCTCAGCCCCATCGGGACCCACAGTTCCCAGGCCCCATCGGATCCCCGGTTCCTACCCCACGGGACCCTAATCCCATTGTAACCCTCAGTCCCCAGACCCATAGGCACCCACAGCGCTGGGAACCTCAGGACCCACAGACCCACAGGGGTCCGCGATCCCCAGCTCCACTAGGACCCACGGCACAGGAAACCCCACGACCCACAGGCCGCAGACCCATAGAAAACCCCGGCTCCAGCCCCACGGGGACCCTCGGCTCCTGCCCTACCGGTCACACAGCCCCACAAGGAGCCCCAGATTCAGCCACCCGCAGCTCTACGCGCCCCAGCCCCTCATCACCCCACGGCTGCCGCCCCATAGAGCCCTCCCCCTCCCGCGCTCACTCACTCCCAGTACTCCGCTGCCGCCCCGTCCCGGCCGTTCCTGCAGGAAGCAGCGGGCGAGCCCGGAGGGCGTGGTCTCAACTCACGGTCACGCCCGCCCCGTCCGTCGCCCCGCCCGCTCCGCCCGTCGCCCCGCCCACCCGGTGGGGGGGCACCGCCTCCTCCCCGCCCGCCATTTCCCGTGCTGCCCCGCGCGGGCGGGAAGGTACCGACAAGATGGCGGCGGGGCTGGCGGACCGCAGCTATATGGAGCTGGGCCCGACGCCTCGCGCCCCGTCCCGGCGGCTCCGTGAGGTATCCTTCAGCCTGCCAGACACCACCCCCGTCCTCGCCGGGCGTTACGGGGATAGTGCTGGGGGGTTCTGTTACCGAGAGTGCGCGCAGCTGGGGGCGGCCACGCGGAACCGCTGCGTGAGGTGGTGAGTGAGGGCGGGCGGGGCTGTGAGGGGAGGGGGGCGGGAATGGGGGGGGGGGGGTTGGGGGCGGTGGGGTGGATGGGGATGGGTTTGAAAGCAGGTAGGGATGGAAGGTGGGGTTGTGAGGGTTGAGGATGGGCTTGGGGGCAGGCAGGGAGGGAAGAGGGGTCATGGTGGGTGGAGGTTGAATTGGAGCCGGCAGGGAAAGAAGGAAGGAATTTTGTTGTAGAAGGGATGAATTTTGGAGCAGGCAGGAATAGAGGGGGCTGAAGGGGTGGGTGTGGGGCAGGCAGGGATGGCTTTGCCTGCCTGAAGCCCCTCCTTTCTGTCCCTGCATGCCCCCAAGTTGTTGTCCCCTGTGTCCCACACTTCCCTTTTCCTCTCAGGACAGCATCAGGGGACACCCTTGAGCTAGTGGAGGAATCACTGGACACAGAGCTGCTGAACAATGCTGTGCGTTTATGCATCCAGGGCTGCCCACTCCTGCCGGGTGGTGTGCACCTGTGTGAGGTGCAGAATCATCTGGTGTTGCTGCTGGTCACCGTGCAGAGCGTGCACCGTGTCCTGCTACCCCACCCAGCCTATACCTACCGCGGGGTGAGTGTGTAGAGGGGTTTATGAGGGGCTTAAGGCCTGTACTTGTGGTCATTGGTTTCTCTGGGGGCATTGCTATATGTGAGCAGGGAGAAAACTGCTGGAAAGTGAGATTTAAAACCTACATCTCTTGGAAAGCAGCAAAAGCAACTGGCAGTATGAGAGTTCTTACTGAAAGGAAAAACTCTTTTCATCACATAGTTGCTCCATAGTGCTGGGTTATTTCCTCCATGGCTTATGTATGTGCTTGAGGCTTGTTCTCTTCCCTTTGCCTCTTCCAGGATCTGATAACAGAGAGCCAAATGCAGTCCGTATTTACAGATATTGGCAAAATCAACTTCAGAGATCCATCCAGCTACTACCTGATTCCCAGCGTGCCAGGCTTGGCAGACAATTCAGTGGCCTCAGCAGCTTGGCTGAGCAGTGATGGGGAAGCCCTTTTTGCTCTGCCCTCTGCAGCAGGAGGCATCTTTGTTATTAAGCTTCCTCCTCACGATGTACCTGGTAAGGCTGCATCCTTGCACCTCCTTCTGTGCAACGCAGTATCCCCTCTCTCAGCTCTGGATCTTGATGGGTTTGGGTTTTGTCACACGTGCTTCTTATGGCCTTGCTGCACACCAGCCTCCCTGCTGGCAGCAGATGTTTTGTTAGCAAGCACTCAGTGTGTTTTTCTTTCGTTGCTTTTATTTTGCAAGGAGTTGTTTCAGTTGTGGAATTGAAACAGAGCTCGGTGGTGCAGCGCTTCCTCACCGGTTGGATGCCAACGGCCATCAGGTTGGTGTCTGGGGACAAACACAGGGAGCTCACTTTGTTTTACGATTCCCTCACACGGGAGGAGGTGTTGTTTCTAGTAAAAGTCCAGTGTGGGCAAATCAGCATCTGCAGATGTGGTCTGAAAAGTTAACTGGGTCACGGGCCCTGTCACAGTGAGATGGATTAGTTCATCTTAATAGGGTCCTGCTGATCCCATGCGTTGGTGTTCGTGAGTGCGTTACGTCGAGTAATTGGCCTCTGAGGATTTGCCCAGGATGTGGCTCGCAGCCAGGGCAGATTAAGGATTACAACAGTTGTATGTTCTTGTCCTTGTTCCAAAATGTCAGGCTCCTTTCTGACCAGCAGAGGTTATATGCAGAGGCAGCTCGTTTGGGGACTGTAGTCTTATGGCACATGATCAAACCCAAAGCCCTGTTAAATGTTGGGAAATGTGAAGAAGCCTCAGCACCCTGAGTGAGTTGGATCACCGGGGTGTGTTGCTTGAGGCCAGGCACCTCTCTTTTCCCACCTCAGTCCTTCATCTCTGTTCTTGGGTAAAAATCACAGGAGAAATTGGATGTCTTGAACTTGTGTGCCAACCTTGGCTTCCTTTTAACTCACTGCTGTAATGCCTGTACTTTCAGAGGTGACAGTGGCCCATCAGATGTGCCCATCAGCCTTGCAGTTCATTGCCTGGACCACGATGCCTTTCTCTTTGCACTCTGCCAGGACCATAAGCTTAGGATGTGGTCCTACAAGGTGAGGCATGTGTTCAGGGCGGCAGTGTGGATGTGGGTGTAGTTTAACAGGTGGCATTGGGTTATCTCCAAATTAACTCAGGCAAGTGCGAGCACCCCAGGGGATGAGGCAGCACCTGAAATGGGTGTTTGCTGCTTGAGTGGTAATGTAACGTGACTCTTTGTCAACAAGAAGTTAATAAAAGCCTCTGTTTGCTGCGTGCTGCTTGCTCCAGAGCTAATCAACCAGCACAGGCTTTCACGGCTTGGCTGTGCTGGAATGCGTGTCTGCTGTTGGCGGGAGGGGAAGCTTTGTGTGCTGGCTGAGAGAGCACAGATGAGCTGGGGGAGCTAAAACTGCAACCGGAATGCTTACAGTGCACATATGGATGCTTTGCTGACATCCCGGAGGGAAGGATTTGGCCATGCTGCTCCTGGGAAAGAACTGAAGGCAGCTTTGCAGTCCTGTTTATTTCTCACGCTGCTTTGCTGTATTTCCTGTGCAGGATCAAATGTGCCTGATGGTTGCAGACCTCCTGGAGTTCATGCCGGTCAGCAGGGACCTGCGGCTCACAGCCGGCACCGGCCACCGCTTGCGCCTGGCCTTCTCCCAGTCCCTGGGACTGTACCTCGGCGTGTACATGCATGCACCCAAGCGAGGGCAGGTAGGGAGCAGCAGGGCTGTCCTGCTATGAGCACGTTTTTCTTGGCCCGTGCAGAAAACACGTCGTTCCTCCTCGGAGCTGAGTATGCATAAGGCAAAAAGTCTGCCCTTACAGAGGGAGAAGGCAGTGCTTTGAGTAAACAGTTTTGTCCTCAGTATCATAGGACACGTGTCCTTGCCTTGGGAGGCGAGTTCTCTATGTGATTAAGCCAAGTGCTGATCCGCTCATTCACGGTCTGTCCTGGTAGGACATACGTGCCATGGGAAATGATCTGAAAGGAGCCGTAAATGTGGAAACACTGAGTGTGTTTACGTTGGGCTCCTGGGAACGAGCAAGTGCATCGCAGTGCACTGTGAAATGTCAGTTTCTGTAGAACTCCCATGTCGTGTGGTAAATAATAAATCCAGCAGGAGGAGACTGACAGCACAGGACAGCCTCATCTCTCGCACAGCTTCTCCTTGCAGTTCTCTGGGGGATTCGAGCTCTGAGTAGAAGCGCACACTGTGGTTTCTCTCTCTCCAGCTAACTCTCCAGTGTTAGCTTACTTGTTAAGGACACACAGAGCTTTGTTTGCAGTAGCTTGCTGGAGGATTCCAGTCTTTTCTGTCTCTGCTTACCTGCATCATGTTGTCGCTCGCAGGAACCAGCAGTGTTGTTGTTTTTCTGGTATTCAGTCTTTCAGAAGACTTCAAGTCCAGGCAGGGATCAGGCTGTCCTGCTGACAAGGCTGGCTGGAGTCCGGAATGCTGGCTCAGTCCAGTCTCTGCTGCCCTTGGCCAGGCAGCTGCCACACCAAGTGCCTGTGAATGGTGGCAGGGAGCAAGGAGAGGCTTCCCTGCAGCACACAGGTTGGTGTTTCTCTTTAGCAAATGACTTACAGGATGTGTTGGTAGTTCTGTGTCTTCCAGCTGGTGAGCACGGAGAGCAGCCGATACAGCCTTGACCACATATCCTCGCTGTTCTCCTCCCAGGTGAGTGCCAGGGCAGGTCCTTCCAAAATATGAAGGGAGTGTTCTCTGCTGGATTTAACTCTCAGTCAAGAATTCTCTCCAGAATATGGGTAAATTGCATGAGGGAGATTTTGGCTGTTTTTAACCACACAAGTCTCTGCTCTGCTCGCATTTCTGATAACGTCAATCTGTGCCCTTGCTGCAGGAGACTCTCATTGACTTTGCCTTAACCTCGGCTGAGATCTGGGCGCTGTGGCATAACGAAGAGAACCAAACCATCGTCAAGTACATCAACTTTGAGCAGTGAGTTTTTGTCTTGAGTTACTGGTGGGGGGAACTGCCAGATGCTGCTCTGCCCATCGAACGCTCTTACCCAGCACCTCTTGCTGTCACAGTGTTGGTGTCATGTGCACAGCTGTGTCTTCCTGCAGTGCAGATCATATGGATACTTTTTAGTTGTTGTTCTGCTGTATAATGCTACAGCTCAGCTGCAGGAATGTGAAAAATGTAAGAAGCCTAGCAGTAGGTTTGGTGCGAGGGAGGGCTGCACTTCACCAACAGTTCCTCCAAAGCGGATCCGGCTGCTCTTTTCCAAGTATGATCATGTTTGGAGATGAGCAGTGACATGAAAGCGTTGCCCTTATTTCTGTAAAGCTAAGAGTCCTGGCGCGTAACCAGGCGTGGAGTTAAATACTGGATAAAAAAATGCTGAGCATTCAGGTTAGCTGGGGTTGGGGATAGCAGTACAAAGCTCTGCTGGCTCAATCTGTTGTTTGTCACCAGTCAAAGCCGTCACCAAACCCGAGGGACCGTGGTGGCTGTCAGTCTGTCAGCTGGTACAAGCGACAGGTTGGGTTCAGGTGATAGCTTCTGGGAGTGTTGCGATGCAAAACTGATTAGGATTTTTTTGTTTCTTTGTTTAATTATTCCAGAAATGTGGCAGGACAGTGGAACCAGGTGTTCATGCAGCCACTGCCTGAAGAGGAGGTGACAATTCGGCATGACCAGGACCCCAGGGTGAGCTGACTAGAAAAGCAACAAGAACTAATGAAGCTTCTGTGCCCCAAGGAAAATGTTAAGGCTGCTCAAATGTACAATTTATCTTGTAGCACTTCTTAAAGTTGTTCCATATTAAAGGAGATGAGCCTAGGGCTCTTATCACAGCATTAAAGCATTAAGCCTAGTTACAAAGCCTGAATTTGAGGGAAGGGGAGAATTTCAAGTCAGTCCAGAGTCCTTGAGACAAAATGTATGAATAAAGAAGGTCTGGAGTGTGCAGGGAGCCATATTCAGCTGCGGGAGCTGCAAAGGGTGGGAAAGAAGAGAGGTTGGAGCAGAGTGTGAGCATAAACTGAAGCTGAAAAGTAATACGCATCAAGGGGGTATGTTTGAGAGCAGGAGCTAGTAGCAGCAGCAGTATTTTAAATATTGTCCTCCCAGTACACGTTGTTTCTGTAAATTGCCATCCTCTTCACAGGAAACCTACTTGGAGTACCTCTTCAAGCCTGGCCACTTCTCAAATGCAGCCATCCAGAAGGCTTTGCAGGTTAGTGGGAGAGCATTTGGTTCTCTCTCTGTTCACCTTCTTCCTTGCAGTTCACATGTGAGGCAGCAGGATTCCTTGGCTGGCATCAATTTGCTCTTAGCCTGCCGGCCTGTCAGGGATCACTGGAGCAAGCGAGGAAGAGTGAAGCTGGCTGAAGCACTTAGCACCCAGCCCTGAGTTTTCACTCTTTCAACCCACAAATCAATAGATAATGTGTTGTGATTGTTGTGCATGGCTGAATGCCTCTCCAAGACAGCTCTCTTGGTTTAAAGAAAGGTTTGCTGTCTTGCTTTTCAGATCTTTTCTCAAGGAACTGAACGGTACATGGACCTGACGTGGGATGAGTTAAAAAAAGAGGTTACCTTAGCTGTGGAAAATGAGGTAGGATTTCTTTTTCCCTGTGATGTTTTTTTCTTGCATCCATTTTTATGTAGTGTTGTGGTGGTTCACTGAAGTTGGTTAAATGCAGCATGACCCTGAGCCATGTTTTATCTTTTGTCTCTCTGGAGGAGTTATGTAAGCTCTGTTTTTGCTTCTAAGGAAATAAAAGATTCACCTTTCCTGCCTGTTTTTTCATTCCCCGTTCTTCTTTGTGTCTTGTGGGGAGAAAATGGTAGCAACAAATAAATTTTGCCTGTAGGATGGTAGGGAAGGGAACTTCAAGCGGTCTCCATAAGTCTTTGACTGTGTAATACTGGTCAGGAGGGACAAAATACCAGTCCAGACGCTAGTTTTTCATTCCCTTCCTGTTCCCATCTGAAGCTGTTTTGGTCCTGCTAGTTCCAGGGCAGTGTGACAGAACGCGAGTGCTCTCCGGAGGAGTTCTGTCAGCTGCAGGTGGATTTCTGGTCCAAGTTCTGCACCTGCTGCCTTCAGTACCAGGAAGCTCTCTTGCAGCCCCTGGCCCTGCTCTTGAACCCCTACACCAACATGGTGTGCCTGCTGAAGAAGGTGAGGCTGAGCAGCAGTGCTCTGGGCACTTTGGCAATTGGCCCGCGTGTTTCCGTGCCCTTTTGACTGAGGAGTGACTGGAGGAACTCAAAGAATTGCTTTGCTTTGCCTTTCTAGGGGTCCGTGTCCTTCCTTGTGCCCTGTTCCTTGGTGGATCATCTCTATCTCCTCTCTAATGAGCATCTGCTGACTGAGGACGATGCTGTCATCTTTGATGGTGAGGAGATGCAGAGCTCTTCCATTATTGGAGGCTGCAATGCTGTCTTTCGGGAAAGACTGTAGCAGAGGAATGCAGGAGTTTCTGTAGTTGCCCTCTGAAGTGCTCCTGACTGTAATTCTCTACACGCAGTTTTCCTGTTTTGCCATCTGTAGGCAGTGTATTGGGAAGTCTGTCACGAGCCCTAGAGTAGGTATTAAAAATTGGTGTCAGGGCTGAAAATATGCCAAAAATTTCAGAAAATTTTAAAAGGAAGAGTCCTAGATATCAGGCTTTGTGACAGGCATCCGCAGTGGTGTGATCCTTTGCCTTGTGGCATTCTGAACTCTTGAGTACACACACTGGTGCCTTCCTCACACCCGCTTTATGGGTTAGACCTGCTGCACTGGAGCTTCACAGTGTGCTGCTGGAGCTCAGGAGCCTGTGTTTCTGTCCCCTGCTTTGTTTAGTCAGTCTCTAGCAGCTACCAGGGGAATGCAAGTTCAAGGCAGGAGGGCAGTTGCATCAGAAATACTTCATAATTTTGTATCATACCAGCTGGTGACCCTGTACGTAGGGCTCTTACGGGTGACACCCCGGTGTGAACACTTTCAGCTTTGCAGAAGTCACCAAGAGCTGTAGGACCTTCTCTGACTCATTGCAAGCCATTCTGTTTCATAAAATTCCCCAGTCTCTGTGCTGTGCTGGTGGAGTAAACTCCTTGAAGAAGTGACAGGTGAGAAAGAAACCTGTAGTTCTCCAAGCACTCTGGCATCTGAGACTGTTAGCTTAGTTTTTAGTGGAGTATTTTCATGTAGGCTATGGAAAGGGACTGGGCAGCTCATCTCCAGGAATTAAATAGTGGAGAGAGCAAAGCTTGTCGTGAATATCATCACCACAGTGCCCTCTGTGCTTTGCTGGTGATGGAAGAAGAAAAGCAATGGAAAATGTTACTTCTACTTTTGTGCTTGAATGTTTTTTTTTTTTTTTAATTATTATTATTTTGGGGTTATTTTTAATCATTCTCCACTCGGTTGAGCTATTTCTGGCTCCAGTAGAAGGGAAGCTGGAGGCCTGGGCTGGTTTGGAGAGGCTGACGTAGCCTGCTCCATCTGGTACAAACTTCTCAAAAAAAAAGTTATGTGATCTTTAAAAAATACATACATGAGGGACTGCATTGCAAAACAGGGATTTTTTTTCTGTAAACCCTTGGCCCTTAGGTCAATTTTCAGACAATTTCTAAGAATGTGAAAATCTTCTTGGTTGCAAGAGAGGGCTGCAAATGGGGAGCTGCTGCAGCAGGAGTGGTGGCTCCTTGGCAGATGCAGTGGAGCTTGGCTGTACGAGCTGAGCCCTCTGCTTTGCGTTCCTTTGCTCTTTCTAAGCGTTTCCTTTCAACCTGTAGCTGGAGAAAATGCTTTAGAGGGAATTTGATGGTTAATTGTTGTTAATTTCTTCCCCCCCCCCCAAATAAAAACGTCCGAGTCTTTCCTTTGTCAACTGCCACCTTTTATTTGGTCTCACGGGCAGGGCAGGGTCAGTTTGACACGCGTGACTGAGACCAATCTGCTGCTAGTGTTTGCTGATGGTGTGCTGGACTAGTCGGTTTTGAGTGGTCATCCCACCTTCCTGTTGAAATCTCTTGTAAAGTACAGTTAGATTCTTTCATTGCAGATGTGGAGATGTCGCGTGATGTTGTCTGTCTTGTCCAGTGCCTTCGACTGATTGGAAAATCAATTTCCGCGGAAATAGCATTCACTATGGAAATGGCTTGCTCCTGCCTCCAGCCTCCAGAAAAGGCTGCAGAGCAGATCCTGGAGGACTTGATAGCTAAAGACACGTAAGGAGAAGCATTCCTGCAGGCAGGGATGGCTGAGCAAGGATTGCCTGGAGCAGTCCTCTCTCATGGGGAGATGTATGGGTTCTCTCTGTGCTGCCAGAGGGAGATGGTGGGCTTGGGTATTGGTCCTGCTAGCAAGCATTTCCACCCCAGCCCCCCTTGCTGTTGCCTTGGGCTCTCCTGAGCAGAAATTTATGCAATTCTGAGATGAGGCAGGGTGGAAGAGGAACAAGTTCTTATTAGCTGATTGTGCAGGCACACTTATTAGAGGTCAGAGCCATGGTCGAGCTGTGTGGTTACACGCTAACCTCCTCCAGTCACTCTAACCTCCTCCAGTCACTCCATGTGGAATGCCAGCTATCTGACTGCTATTTCTTACTGCCCTGGGGAAGCAGAATGAATAGCCCAGATTCTGCAGGCGCTGTAATAAAACTGTGAGCCAGAAGAGGATTCCCTTCAAGAACATCCAAGCTGATCGGCTGCTTTCCCTTCCAGAGAGGATCAGTAAGGGCGAACAGGGAGCCCTCTTCATTTTAAACCTCTTCTTTTCTTTTTTTAACAGGGAAAATGTGATGGAGAAGATACACAGCAAACTGCAGGAGATCAGAAACCCTATCCTTGCCATCGGAGTGCTCATCCGAGAGATGGACTACGAGACCGACGCTGACATGGAAAGAGGTAAAAGCTCTGCAGCAGTACTTTGGGCTGGGAAAGCAGCCGCTCAGCCAGTGTTCCTGTTGGGCTGGTTCCTCCCCTTATCTCCATGATTTTCTTTCAGCTCACCCTCTAAATATGCGTATGAACCTCACCCAGCTCTACGGCAGCAGTACAGCCATCAGCGTGGTGTGCTGGGGGGTGTGTAAGGTTGCCACGATCCGTTTCCAGATCTGTCGGGACCTGCTGATCCTCCAACAGCTACTGCTGCGGCGGAGCAATCCTGTGAGTACAGCCCTTCAAGCTACTGAGTACACCTTTTGAACTTTTGCATCTGGGTTGCCTGGTGCCAGCTGCCTCTCTTCCCACAAAACACTGGCAACTGTTGGATCTATCTTGAGGCTTGGGCAAGCCCTGTTCTCTCCTGTGTCTTTTGTCATCCGGAGGGAAGCATGCGCCACTCGTACCCAAATTCCTCATTTCCATGCTGCACAGCCAGGAAGCAAAACTCTGAGGGAGGAGGACGTGGTTTCCAGCCCTCCATCCAAACCAGGGCTGCCTGAGCACACACAGCTCTCCCATCCAGTCCCCGTCCCTCCCACAGCACGGCTGACAATTGCAGCCTTGTTATCCAGCAATGCAGCACACAGCTCTTCTGCCTCACAGCAGCAGCATTTACCCAGAGGCCGTGGTTTTGCTTTCCGTGCGAGGCTGTTCCAGCCAGTGCCAGCAGCTGCCACGATGGCAGCTGTGTTTATAGGGTAGCCCAGGCAGGGTTGATTCTGCTGGCTGGGGGGGCTGAGCAAGCAATGGTGCTGGTGACTTGAGGGGAGCAAGCCCCCAGGGCAAAGGGGTCATTTATTTAGACCAGTGTTATTTACCTGGAGGTGCTGCTGCAGTCATGCAGTGAAAAGAAATCTCCTTCTCCTCTTCTTGGATAAGCTTGTCTTAGTGACATTTAAAGCATGTTGCAAGGTGCCCTTCTGGAGCCAGGCACGTGGTGTGGTCAGAAGCTGCCGTTTTGCTGCCTTGAAATGCTTGTCCTTCACAAGCATGGATTGGTGTTCTTCCTGTATAAACTGTCTGTGTCATCTTTGGCTTGAGCAGAAGGGATGCAGTTCCTGGATGTGGCCACAGCGAAACTGTGATCTCACTGTGTTTCATTGCAGCAGTGCCAAGCACCTTGGTTCATACATCACTCCGCTTGTCATATTTTCCCCATGGCATCTGGGCCTCCAGAGTCTCTGCTTCACCCCTTGGCACCGAGGGGCAGGGGTTGTTGCTCAGCTTCTCGACATATCAGCCCCTGTGCTTTGTTTGCAGGTGGTTCTGGGGGGGGGACAGCTGTTCCAATCTCAGGACCTGCTGCACCGCACCTCCCCTCTGCTGCTCTCCTACTATGTGATCAGGTGGGCCAGCCAGCGCCTGGCATCGGACATCCCCTTGGACACGTTGTGAGTCCCTGCCTTGCCCTTTCTCTCTTTGATTGTAGGCTGCTTCAGAATTGACCTGAAGTCCCCTTTCCAGCAGTGCATGGTGGTGGTTGCTGTGGGAGTATTGCTCTCAGAGTTAGTTTGTGCTAGGGTGGCTTTTATCTTCTGTGTTTTGAGCTGACTCCTTGCCTTGTGCTAAATCTGCCCTGCGAGGTCTTGCTGTTCTGTGCACTGTTGCCTTCAGCAGTAGGAGTGATTTGAGTTGAACAATGAGTACAATTACGGCAGGAGGTGTTTTGTTGTCTCTTTGCTGATGGCTTTCTCTTCTCTAGGGAATCAAATCTGCAGCATCTCTCTGTGTTGGAGTTAGCAGACTCTACTGTTCAAACACCCCATAAGCTAGGTAAGATGTTTACAGTTTGCCAGCTCTCGGTTTCTTGTTAAATAGAATTCTTAAACTTTTTTTTCCTCTGCCACCCAAGGGAAATGCTAAAGGCAGAGAGCCAACGGGTGGTGTGTTTGAGCAGCTCTCCTTTGCTGTTCATGCTGTGCACTGAAAATAACAAAGTATCTTGCAACATTGGAGGGAGGGTAGTCAGCTGCATTAGGCCTGTCCTGCTCGCTGGCCTTTATCAAGCAGGAGCAGCAGCTTAGGGAAGGGGCAGAATATGGAAGATGCTTCCCCAAAATGTGCTTGTGCTTCCAAGAATTTGCATTTCAGGTGTGAGTGCTGCTCACAGCCAGTAGCTTAAGTGGGAAATTGCAGCTGATAACCTGCTCACATTTCATGTCTTGCTGCAATCCCCAGATAAAGTCATTATGCTTTCAGCTAGCATCTTCGGGGAAGAATCATAACGGGGGAGATCACGAAGCAACTTAATTAGGGGGATAGGTGCCTTGAAATGGTTTCAGAGAGAGGTGATGAGCAGGATAGGGAGGAGAACGCGCAGTCAGAGCCTGTGACTAATTTGTGTGGTGCTTCAGGGCTGAAACGCTTCAGAGGGAGCTGCAAAAAGTGAGGAGGCAGCAGGCTGCAGGGAGTTTAGGAGGAGTTCTCTCCATTTGCTGACAGCCCTGCAGGGTTTGTGTTTTCTGTAACTGGGCTGCAATCTTCGGCGTTCAAACTCTGTCGGTGTCTCAGTTTGGGAGCAGTTGCCTTCGACGCAAATGTCAGTGCCTGAAAGCAAAATTGAAAACATCCTTTGTGTGCTCGCCAGTGTTGTGGGTTATTGCTTGGCCTATTCATGAGGAAAGTCCTGTTTGGTCACTGTGCTTCAGGAAAAATATGTGAGACGTGGGGAAGATGGAAAGGAGGGGGCAGCTTGGAAAGAGGCATTGAAAACAGTTAGCTCATGAGAGATCATGCTGCTTAGGGAGGCATTTGGAGAGAAGCAGATAGCAAAATCGGCTCTCCCTCAGCACTGCCCTGCAAAACACTGGGGAAAGCTGCAGAAGGATTGCAAATGGTGCAGCTGGGGAGGAGCACAGCCCTTTATTTGTGTTGTAATCGAGCTGCAATTAATAAACGCTGCAGCGTGTGGGTTTCTGATCTCCTGCTGCTCCCTCTGATTTAACTAGAAGTGGAGAGAAATCCTATACCCACACGTCTGAGCACGGAATGTCCTTGCCGTTTTGCTCCGGCTTTACCTGTGGTCCTCAAGCTGATGAGCCCAGCACAGTAGCTGTGTGTAGAAACCTGGGAGACCCGTTGCAGGCCTTGTTCTCCATGCTTCCTTACCTTGTATTTCAGTATCCAGCCCTCAGACAATCGTGGAGCTCTTCTTTCAGGAAGTGGCCAGAAAGCACATCGTCTCCCGACTCTTCCTGCAACCGAACGCCTCTTTGGCTGAAACGAGTTTGAATTGGCCCCATCTCATCACCACAGTAATGGCTGACTTTCTGCCCCTCCTGTATCCTTGGCTGTGAGCTGTGCTTTCTGTTGGGCTGTAACAAGAGGGGGGGGGTTATGTATAAAACAACATGCAGGGGCTCTGTCCTGAGAGCAGCTGGGGCGGTGTGTTGGCCATCTCATTCCAAAAACTTCCTGCACCCAAATTTCAAAGTCGAGTCTCCTAAACAAGTGGCTGTTGTAAGCGTTAATGGGATTTGTGGGTATTTTAAGATTTCATGGAATCTGTTCTATTGAGGTATTTGAGTTTTTGACTTTAAGCCCCTGAGCTCTGTCTGGCAGGTTTACTTGGCAAGGTGTGATGCTGGGAGATTTGGAAGGGTAACGAGATTTGGGCAGTTGTGGATTAGATACGCTAATAGTTTTGGTCTAATATGGATAAATCTTATTACAAAATAATGATCTGTAGAAAGAGCAGCTTAATCTTCTGTCCTTTCCCCCCACAAATGGAAGAAGAGCACGTGCAGAGTTTTAGCCCGACACTCTGAGCTCTCTGGACCAGACCTGTTCCTTAATTCCTGCTCAGATGGCCCAGCAATCCTGGGTTCCTCTTCCCAGAGTGCCTGATGGGGAGCTGCCAGTACACCCAGCTGCAGGTGAGTGCCTTTTTTTTCCTTTCTTCCCTTCAATACCTGCAGTCTCTCCAGAACTATCTGCATGTCTTGAGCTTCTGCTTTCCTGTAGCTGCTGCCCTCTGAGGTCAAGCACAAAATGATCTTCCCACCTGCTCTGTTCCCATGTCTCCAGTTTGGAGGTGATGGGCTAGAAGTTTCTCCTGGGAAGGAAATGGTCTACAAGGAACAAGATTTTGGAGGAGAATCAACACAAACCTGCCTCTGCAACTGACTTCCATATTGTATCTATCATCATCCTTTTAGTGGCCGCCTCAGCCTCTGCTAAGAGAAGAGCTTTTTAGCTGATTATATTGTACTTGGAAAATGCAGCACAGTTCAGTAGTAGATTTGTTTAAGATAGTCTTCTTACTTATTTCCTCTTGCATCTTTTTGCAAGAAAATTCAAGCACAAGTGCTCAGGATCGTGACATGCCCTGCTGAAGGAGGAGCACAGTCTCGAGAACGCGATGCTGTGGAACTTCTTTGGCTGTCACAGCAAGGCCCTAACCTCATCAACTGCTAGCTGCCCACAGGCAGCTGTGGTTCCATGGTGAGCACCTTGCCTACCAGATTAGAGATGCAGCAGAAATGCATTTTCAGGAAGCCTCACTCATTTCTTCGGTGTCCTTGCTGGTGAAGAGCAGTGTAAGAAACATCCATCTGTCTTCCCATCACCAACTGTGCTCTCCCACGTGCTGTTACTGTTCTTTCTTTTGGGTGTCTCCACAGCTGCGTGTCAGGGATTATTTCTCATGCTGTCCCCTCTTGTGTGCTGTGGGGTTTGGTGGTTGCAGCTGCGTGTGCTCTGCTGAAGAGTGATTTCTTGTCTGTGTTGCCATGTGATGCTCCTCGTTCCATTACTGACGGTAGTCCCTGAGGCATTCAGGCCTAGGCAGGATGCTACTAAAGAGACTTTTCTCCTGTGTTTAGCAGAACTCTTGTTCTCGCAGTCCCTTCTACCCAGGGGCTGAATTGCTTTCTTTTGTGCTCATCGTGCTACTAAGAAGAATGTCAAATCTGCAGCTCTTCTGAGCCAGGAAATGCCAGGACGGTTCAGGCAGCATCGCTCTGCTTCTGGCATATGTGCACGTGTGGTGTGAGCACGCTTTGAATTTCCTCACACTGCTTTTGCCTCGCTCGTGTCCTGCCTCGAGGAGGTACGAGAGACTTCCACTCTGCAGGAGTGGGCACTTCTCCTCTTCGCTGCCTTCTGTCAGGCTTGCTGATCCCAGCCAGTCACGTAAACTTGGATTAAGTGCACTGACCTCAGAGAGCTAACAGCAGCTTTGACTGCAAGCGTGCATGCGGTGACCCAAATAGGGGTGGAGATATAGGAAGCGCCCTGCAAGTTCCATACGGGCACAGAGAAGGTCTAGTGACCAAAGTGCTGCCTGGAATGGGTGCCAAAACTCTCCTTGGTGCTTATTGTGTGTGAATAAGTCCGGGGTGGGATTTATCTGTTGTAGGTGGCTAATCTGAGCAGGGAATCCATGCTCAGAGCATGTGTTATTGCATGGTGTTTCACAGAGCTGCACTTGCTGAGACTGGGATGGGACAGCAAAACCTGGGCTTTGCTGCCAACTCCTGGCTCCCCTGTGCCTTTCCCTGCTGCACCTCAGCAAGCTTAGCACAGCTCTGCTTCTCTGAGTGCAAAGAACAGCCAGCACTCTCCCAGCTACTGAGTCTTCATCATGTCTTCTAGCTCCCTCCCGGTCGATGATGATGATGACATTTTTCAGTCTTTGTTATCTTGATGAAGCAGGCACAGGGCCGGGGTGAGTTACATTGCCCTGTGCTATGGCTTTTAGTTGTGATGTGTGCCTGGTGCAAACTGCCCTCCACCTAGCGCCTGGCAGCTTGTAATTGGTGCTCTGGCTGCTCTCCATCTCCTGCCCTGCTCCTACAGCAGTTTGTAGCGGGCATTCTGCATGATTCTCTGGGATGCTGGCTGCAGTTTGATGTGTTTCTTGCAGATATTGGAGAGATTTCAAGCAAGCTGTAGAGATTGTCTGTCTCTACACTCCAAGGGGATGTTGAGGTTGGGAAATGAGCCTGCCAGAGGTGGTGATGAAAGCGTCTCTTCTTCCTTCCCTCTAGGAATACATTCGCCTGCTGCAGCCGTGGTGCCATGTGAACGTGGGCTCCTGCTGCTTCATGATGGGCAGGTGCTACCTCGTCATGGGTGAGGGCCACAAAGTAAGGCACTGCGGTTGTATTTGCTGCTAGGGCCTTGTTTCTGTTGTGTAGCTCAGGGAACGTCGATCTGAGCTCTGCCTCTGGGCAGGGAGCAGGAGTGGGGGGTGGGGGAGGACAGTGGGACCTGCTGTCAGGGCAGTTCTTATTGCAGCTTGGGGCCAGCAGGACCCGTAGGATGAAGCTGAAATGGGTGGCACTGTCTTCTCCAGTACAGCAGGCTGGGGCAGTCCCCAGAGGTACACTTGCAGCTGCTCTTTGCTGTGCTTCCAGGCTTTGGACTACTTCTGCCAAGCTGCTTCTGAGGTGGGAAAAGAGGAGTTCTTGGACAGGCTGATCCAGCCTGAGGAGGGTGAGATGGTCTCCACCCCACGTCTGCAGTACTACAACAAGGTATGGCTCAGCCCACCCAGCGTGCGTGGCCCCCAACAGTGCAGAGCTGTTCCACACCAGCACTGCTTGTGGAGAGGCCCCCAGCTTTTGGGAAGGTGACTTCAACCTTGAAAAACACACTTTTTTTGGGAAATGCCAGCTTAGTTTTGGGGATAACCACGAGGAGACTGACTACAGTGCAAAAGCTAGGTACTTTCCACCTCTTGGCTTCCTAACAGCAGGGGACTGTGAGATCCAGCTGCTGGAAGGGGGGGCCAGGCATGTCCAGGCTAGAAGTAAGGTGCTGCTTTAAGGGACGATTATTCTGCTTTGACGCAACTTAAAATTAATGTCTTTAAACTGAGATAGGATCTTCTCATATGATGCCATAGTTCAGGCAGGCTGCAAGCTTGGATCTAAGCTCCTTGTAAGAGATTCTCTGCTGTTAAAGCCCAGGAAGCGCAAGGATTGTCTGGTGCCTCTGGAGAGGGAACTTTTCTCTGTATCAAGCAGAGTGTTTGCTCAGGGACAGCATCGTTCACCTCTGTTGCAATGGCTTCCTGTAGCCATGAAACGTTCAGGAAACTCACACTTCTGTAAAGGTTGTTCATCCAGTAAGGCCTGGACCCGCTGTGTTGGATTTGGTTCACACCTCTGCAACTTAACAAAATGCTTCTCTTTTTTTTTTTGCTCTAGCCACTTAAGATACAGTGGCCAAGTATCTTGACTGCTCATATGGCTAGAGTTGTGACTTGCAGGTTCTGCGCTTGTTGGAAATGGTTGGCTTACCAGAGCTGGTCATCGAGCTGGCTTCTCTGGCCATCATGGAATCGGTGGATGACTGCAGAGCCCAGGTACAGGATTTCTTCTGCTCCAAGATGCTTCTTCAGGGACCTTACACGGGAATTGGTTCTTAGTTGCGTAACTTGAAATGTGCTCTTCTGTGCTGTGTGGTGTTTTCAGGCTACCTTGAGGACTTGCCTCTTCAAACACCACTTGGATTTAGGGCACAACAGAGATGCATACATCGCCTTAATCCAAAACCCAGATCGAAGCAGGTAGGTGACAGCTTTATCCCTTAAATGCTCACTTGTCTTGAAGCTCCTGCCTCTTTCAATTTTTGTGTTGAAGCAAAAGGAAGCAGGCACTGCAGGGCAGGGCTGCTGCATTAAGAGGTTCTGTGTAAAGATGCCTTTAAAGAGGCGTACTTAATTTTTGTAAGAGTGGTTATAATTGGCAATACCATCCCCTTGGTGAAAACTGAAAGAAAACACAGGGCCTTATTCAGAGAAAGAAACAGAAACAAAATGGCTGAAGAACTGCATGCAGCATTACATTTGGGAGGGCTTTAGGAGTCTGATTAATGTAGTTTACTAAAGGAAAGAGACTTGGGATGGAATTTTGTCTTGTGTACCTCCTTAAAATGAGCTGTGCAGAGGAAGCTTCACAGCCGCTGGGGAGAGTGCAGTGGGCAGGAGGGGCTAGAAGCTGGAGATGAGGTTCTCTGGAAAGTGGAGCTGTGATTTAGTTTGGGGGCCACAGAAAGCCTCACCAAACAGAGCTGGGGGTGGGAGGCTGCCTTCCTGAGCAACGCAAGCAGCGCAGAGAGACGTTCTGCTAGCCTTTGTTGCCAACACAGGAGAAACCTGAAGGGACCTCTTGGTCTGGAGCCAGTAAACCTTTGGCTCTCATCCCAAAGCAGCATGCTGGCGGCTCAGAGCCTGCATCCCGATGGTGGGTCAGCTCAGGGCTATGCTTTCCCTCCGCAGGCAGCTGGATTGTCTGCGCCAGCTAGTGGTTGTGCTCTGCGAGCGCTCCCAGCTCCAGGACCTGGTAGAGTTCCCTTACATCAATCTCCATGATGAGGTAATTAATTAACCTGCTCTGGGAGGAGGGGGGGCCGCAACTCCTTCAGAGAGGATTTTTGACCTCTTTGAGCCTCTTTGCGTCGCAGGTTGTGGGGATCATAGAGTCCCACGCTCGAGCAGCGGACTTGATGACCCACAATTACTACGAGCTGCTCTACGCTTTCCACATCTACCGCCACAACTACCGCAAGGGTGAGGTGTGGGGCGGAGCGGCCCTGTCCCGTTCGCCTCGTCCCAACAATGGCGCAGCTGATGCATCCCCTTCTCTCCTCAGCTGGCACGGTGATGTTTGAGTACGGCATGCGCCTGGGCCGCGAGGTGCGGACGCTCAAAGGGCTGCAGAAGCAGAGCAACTGTTTCCTCACAGCCCTTAACTGCTTACGGCTCATCCGCCCTGAGTACGCCTGGATAGCGCAGCCAGTGTCTGGAGCTATGGTAGGGGATCTGTGAGTTTGTCACCAGCCCTCTGCCCTCAGACTGTAGGGACGTTTAGATCTGTGCTTGGGGAGGTTGCTTCCAAAATTCTTGCGCATGCAGCTTGATGAGAAATGTGGCTGTGATAGTGCAGAGAGTATTTGTAACCTGCGAGTTCCACAGGAAGCAAAGTAGCACCTCTTGTTAAAGATAAGTCAAATCTCAGGGAGACCGAACAGCTGAAATTCCAGTCCAGGGGAGGATTACAGAAACATGGTTTGTATTTCCGATCTCTTTGTGGAGAGGAAGTGGCTGTATCCTGAAAAGTCAGCGCTGCGCTGTGTTTGATAGCCAGAGATAAGGAAACGTAACCTGAACTGATAAGCAGTTGCACGGTTGCATATTCCTCATTCAAATCAGGGCTTGAGAGGAGAGCTGAGGGCTGGAGTGTATTGTGCTTATTTGTCCTTCAGAAACCAGCTGGGCATCAACCTTTTTTGTACTTCTTTCCTGCAAGTACGAGCGGCCTGGAGCATCCCCAAAGAGAAGCCACGATGGGGAGTGTGCTGCAGTCCCCAGTAAGTGCCTGCTACTGACTTCTTCCCATCTCCTGCATTCCCACAGCTTTTCCCCTTGCCTCGTGGAGGCTCGTCTCTGACAGGTTTATAATCTGGGGGTTGTAAGCACATGCAGTCCATTAGAGTTAGCATCTCCTAGCTGCAGTGTGCTGCCATGTAGCACTTCTCCCACAAGGACTTTGTGTTCCTACTCTTTCTGCAGTTAGATGTGGTTTTGTTTATGTGTTTATGCTTAGATGTGTTTGTGAAAATAAGTTGTAACAAAGCCCTTTTGAGGCAGTTCCTAGTTCTCTGAAATTCTTGTTGCTCGTGCTCTTGGGAGTCCTGTTGGTGTGGCTCATCTCTCCTGGTGTGGTTTCTGTTTTGTGTCTGCCAAAGCATGGGGCAGGAGTAATCCTCAGCATTACTCTAGAAAAGTTTCAGGTCAGATATTTTTAAAACAATAACTTTCAAATGAACTCCTTTGTAGCACATGCTGGGCAGGCAGAGCAGCAGCTGTTTCTAAACACAAGGTGACTCAGGAATTTGTGTCCCTGACAGATGAGGAGTGGAACATTTGTGACAAGGAAATATGCACACTTTAGGGCAGCAAAACCCAGTTCCTCCCGGTTCTTTCTGGTGTGAGCGCTCTGAGGATGGCACAGGGTTGTAGATGCCATCTTGCCAAAGGAGATTTTTTCCGTTGTTCTTTTTTTAAATGCTGAGGTCCCTTTGCATCCATCTGTTACAGCAACACGCCAAATCGAAATCCTGAAACTGGAGGATTTGGAAAGGGAGTACGTGCTGTCCCGGACCCGTCTGACTCTGGTGCAGCACAACCTGTCTACAGCTGCACTGGCAGGTGAGAGAGGTGCAGAGGAGCCTCCTCGTGTCACCCACATGGTACTGCTGGAGCTCTGCCCATGGAACTGCATGGGGCTGAGCCCAGTAGCTGTGGCTGTGGAGATGCTCACCTGGTTCTGCATCCCACAGGCAATTCCACGCCTGAGGAGGCACTTGCCCTCCTCATCCAGGCTGGCCTCTTTGACACCTCCATCACCCTGTGCCAAACGTTCAAGCTGCCACTGACGCCCATCTTTGAGGGGCTCACGTTCAAGTACGTAGCCAGCTCCTGTCTCGGGCACTGCTTGTGACTCCCAAAGACGTGGTCTGCACTGCTTTCTGTCTTTCAGGTGCATCAAGCTCCAGCTGGGAGGGGAAGCAGCACAGGCAGAGGGTTGGAAGTGGCTGGCATCAAACCAGCTCCCACCACTGTTTACCACCAAGGAGTCCAGGTAGATCTTCAGCTGTGGGGGAGAGGAACAGAGGAGAGGCTTCTTTACCCCAAAGACTGGAGACTAAAGCCTTGTGAAAGGCCAGAGGCTCCTAAAACCTTGTATGGTGACTGCATTGAGGGCTTGAGGTGGCTGTAGAAGGCAGACATTGAGCAGCAGGATGGGTTCATGGAATGCCCTGTGGCACTGCAGCCACTCAGAGGATGCTGGCAGGGTGCTGAGAGAAATATTGCCTTGCAGTGCTACAGATGAAGCCTGGCGGCTGCTCTCATCTTACTTGGAGCGCTACCCGTCCCAGAACAGCCTGTACCATCGCTGTGTCATCAACAAGCTCTTGGCACATGGCATCCCTCTGCCCACCTGGCTCGTTAACAGCTACAAGGTGAGAACAGCCTCACTGTGCAGCGTGCCTCCTGTGCTGCTTTGGCCAAAAAAGCAGCCGGAGATCACTTCCCGAAGGAGGCGCCAGCTTTGTTACTTCTCAGCCCCGGGAATGTGTCAGGGGCTCTGTGCCTGGTCAGAGGCTCAGAAGGGGTTCTTGGGCTCTTTGCAGAAAGTGGATGCTGCTGCGCTGCTGCGTCTCTACCTGAACTACAACCTGCTGGAAGAGGCAGGGGATTTGGTCCTGGAGTATGTGGATGCTGTGCTGGGCAAAGGGCACGAATATTTTGGAATCGAGGTGAGCTGAACTGAATACTGGGCCTCTCCGCGTGAATCCTGGTACGGGCAGGAGAACATAGTTGGGGCAGCGTGGTATAAAGGTTCTTCCTCCCTGCAGTTCCCGTTGTCGGCCACGGCCCCCATGGTGTGGCTGCCCTATACTGCCATCGACCAGCTGCTGCAGGCACTGCGGGAGAGCTCTGCCAACCCAAACAACGCCCTGGTACGTGCAGCCAAGGTTGGGGCAGGTGTGGATAAAGTGGAGGGCTCTCACAGAGCAGCCTTACTCCTTCCTTCCAGCTCTTCCAGAAGCTGTGTGACAAGATGGAGGATTACCACCAGAAGGTCAGCATGGCCACACAGGATCGTCTGTACCGGTGCAAATAGCATGGTCTCAGTGCCCAGGGACAGCTCCCTGCGGAATGATGGCAGCTGGGTGCTCTTTTCACTCCTTTTTCCCATTCTGCGGCTACTTTGGGGTGCCACAGCATCCATTTGGTGTGGTATCACCGCAGCCGTGCCCCTCCCTTGTTCTCCGCACCATCCGTTGAAGTTCTCCGTGTTTCTTTTATTTATTGTTGTCGTTTTGGCTGAACTTTAATAAAAGCCAGTTGTTAAGAGCGGTGCGACGACAGGCTCTACCTCGGCGACCGCAGGCGCGGGGCGGGAGCGCCGCCCCCAGCGACGTCGTGACGCAGCGCGACGTCGTGACGCCAGGTGACGTCGTGACGTCACGCCGCTCCCCTCCGCGCGGCCGTTTCCCTCCGCGCCGCCGCCGCCATGGGGAAGAAGTCCCGCAGCGCGCCGGGCCGCCGGCCCATCCTGCAGCTCTCCCCGCCGGGGCCGCGCCGGGAGGACGCGGGGCCCTCGGGGCAAGCGGCGGAAGGGACGGAGTCGGGGTCGGAGCCGGGTAAAGGAGGGGCCGCTTTGTTGGCGGGGCGAGGCCTGGCGCGGCCTCCGAGCGGGGCTGCGGCCGTCGGCTGGGGCGGCTCCCCCCGCCTTTCATCCCCCGCCCTTCCCTCGTCGATTCTGGGGCCCTCGGCGGACTCGTTCCCTCTTTTCTTCCGCAGACGAAGCCGAGGCGGTGCCGGAGCCTCACCGGAGCGCTCCCAACCCGCCGCCTCCCGCGTCCGCCGCCGTCAAACCCACAGGTAGGGACCGTTCCTCTTCTCCGACGGCGCCGGGAGGGCTCGGATGGGCCTCCCCGCCCGACTGAGGGTACCCCCGCTGCCAGGTGGGCTGTGCCTGCTGGGCGCCTACGCCGACAGCGACGACGAGGAGGGGGAAGGCGCCGAAAAGCCGGCACGCCCCGCCGGTGCCAATGGAAACAATTCAGCCGACATCGACAGCACGCTGGCCAACTTCCTGGCGGTAAGCGCGGAGCTTCCCGCCTTCCTTTTACCCCCGCGCCGTTCAGCTCTCCCTTACGCTCCCTGACTGCGCTGATTTTTCAAGGAGATCGACGCCATCACGGCCCCCGTGCAGCCAGCCGAGCCCACCCCTGCTGCCCCGCCTCCCACCCCTCCCCGCCCAGAGCCCAAGGAGTCTGGCACGGCCACGGGCATCGCCGCCCCCAATGGCACGGATGCAGCCGTGGCCCCTGAGTGGCAGTACGACACGCAGTGCTCGCTAGCAGGAGGTGAGCACCGCGTGGGGTGACTTAGACGCAGTGTAGGGGTGCCGGTCCTATGAGTGACCTGCTTGTTCTCGTTCCCTGACAGTGGGAGAACTGGAGATGGGTGACTGGCAGGAGGTGTGGGATGAAAACACCGGCTGCTACTACTACTGGAACACACAGAGCAATGAGGTGACCTGGGAGCTGCCGCAGTATTTGGCAGCCCAGGTGCAGGGCCTGCAACACTACCAGGCCAGGTGAGAGCGCATCCAGGCTAGGAGGGAAAGAGGGAGAGAAGGGGCTGCATCCCTGTGCTGACCATTCACTTGTTTTTTTCTTCAGCAGTACGGCAGCGGGCACCAATGGGAGCTTCACAGCAGCTGCTGAGCCCTTGGCACAGGAGAAAACAGGTCCAGTAAGTGCTGCCAGACCCGGGGCTAAGCGGGAGGTGAAGAAGGTGAGTTTGAGCAGCCAAGTAGCAGGCATTCTGCTATGTTCCTGAGCCCCCACTTGAGTCTGGGGGCATATGGAGCCACTGATACAGCACTCAAACCTCACAGGAAGTAAATGAAGGAGTGCAGGCACTCTCCAACAGCGAAGAGGAGAAGAAAGGGGTGGCAGCGGCCCTCCTGGCACCACTTGTGCCGGATGTGGTGAAGGAGGAAGAGGAGCGCTGGAGGAGAAAGGTGATTTGCAAAGAAGAAGTTGAGCCGCCCCCAGAAGAGGAGGTGAAAGCAGAGGAGATGCCTGCTGCATCTGAAGAGCCCAAGACGGGCAAGGATCCCCTGGAGGACACGCTGCAGGAGGAGCTGTGCAGTGTGGTGCAGTCAGGCGAGAGCGGGGAGGAGGAGGAAGAGCAAGACACGCTTGAGCTGGAGATAGTGCTGGAGAGAAAGAAGGTAATTTGGTACAGGAAAAAATTCAAAGAATGGCTAGTAATAAATAAACCAGGCATCAGTAGTAGCTGCTCCCATCCCAGCCTGAATCTTTTGTGAGGGGTGCTCTTTGTGTCCTGTGCTGCTGACAGAGCTGGGAGCTGATAGTACAGCTTCACGCAGATGCTCTGCTGGCAGTTCTAGAGCTGTTGCTTCCTGTTCGCTTGCCTTTACGCCACATTCTAATTAGAGCAATTCTTCTATATAAGAATATAAATGCGTGACACGTATTTGGGGCAGTTGGGATCCCTGAAGTGCTGCTCACCATCTCGTGTCTCCACAGGCAGAGCTGCGTGCTTTGGAGGAAGGAGATGGCAGCGTTTCAGGCTCCAGCCCGCTCTCTGACGGGAGCCAGTCTGCCTCGCAGGATGCAACCCGCAGGCTGGCCTCAAAGCGGGGGAAGTGGAAACTGTTTGCGGGAGCTGCCAGCCCTGATTCTGCTAGTCGAGGCTCCAGCAAAACGGGCCGGGAGAGCCCAGAGGTGGGAGAAGCAGGTAATTTGAAAGGCTCCCTTCGGAGGGAGGAGCGGGTGTTCGGAAATGCTGCAGCCCTCTCCTGCCGGGGCTTCTCCTCCCCGAAGATGGGGCTTGCCTGAGGCGCACGGTGGAGCCAGGAGGTGAGGTAGGTGACAGGGCACAGGGGTGACTGGCAGCGGTGTCATGCACAGCCCAGCTGCCAGTGGGAGTTCGGGGGAAGAGCTGCTGCTCTGCCAAATCCTGTCCTTTAGCCTACCAGTGGAGTAATTAGGAGAGTGCTAACGCTTAATGTGTTAGTAGAAAAGAGAATGTAAAAGCGTAATTTTGGCTTCATGCCCTGCGGCTTCTGTTAGGATGTTATAAATCCTAACAGTGATATATCAGGAGCTGTTACCTCACTTCTTAAGTTCTGTTTCTTTGTCCCTGGGTAACAGTAGCCACATCTCATGCCGCTCAGGTGCCCCCAAGAGCCATCTGGCTGTGCTGTGTAGAAAAGATGAGACTGACTGAGCCTTGCTGTGAGAAGCAACTCCTTCCTGCAAGAAGTGTGCTGTGTAAGGTGCATTGAGTTTAATGCCTGAGCAGCAGTGGGGTTGCTCACGCTCCCCTTAGCTCTCTATGCAGCAAGGAGACACTGAGCCGTGGTCTTTCTGAGATCTGTATTAGGCAGGTGTTGCAGAGCGTTGTATGAACTTGTAGCCTGATGGAGGTGATGTGCTTGTGGCTGTTAATGCTCCGCCACAGCTTGCACTCTGCTGGAGGCTCCCCAGCACTCCCGGCCCCTCCAGAGCAGCTCTCCCTAACATGCACCAGTTCTGTTGCTACGTCTGGGGGAACAGCACAGGAACAGGTGTAGAAGCACCCCAAGCTTGTAGCAGGCTGTGTTCTGCTGAAGCAGGAATCAGCATGAGCCCTCCTGGGGGCTGCTGCAACCCTGAGGTGTAATGGTCGGTGGTGGTGTTTGCCCTTGGAGGGAAGATTTGGCTGCAGGGTCTTTCCTCGTGCCTCACAGGCTCAGAGGAGATGGTGCCCAGAGCCAACTGTCCTGCAGTGCTGCAGTTTTCCCACTTGGCATCTGGGGAACAGGAAGCTGTTAGTTTAACCTGCATCCTGCTGCTGTGGGGTAGCAAAAGAAGCTGAACACCAGGATGCATCAGGAGTGTGATTTTATTTTTTTTAACACTGGTTCTGGTTGGAGTTCCTTGCAAAACTTCCTCCCTGGCACGTGGGCAGGTACTGAGTTGCTGCTGTCCTGCGATGTAGCCCAAACAAAGCCTTACCATCTTGACAGCTTTTGGGAGCTCTTCTTTGACAGTTGTCTCGGTCTTTTACTGTCTGATACTATTCTTCCTAGCAAGTAATTAAGCTGCAGGAGTTCAACGATGTCACTTGGCTGCTGGCACTCAGCATTTCTTCTTTGTTCCTCTTCCTCATTCCTGTGTTGTGGCAGCTGCACAGTGTTGTGGCACTGAGTCCTGTGTGTTTTTTCTAGAAAGGTACTGACCACCTGACATACAGGGGCTGCAACCCTCTCTGCTTTTAATTTCAGCCTTTTTTCATAGGAAAGAGGCCCCTGGCTTTGGCTCCCCAGTGTGGTATGAGGAGCACGGGCAGCACTGTGACAAACAGGCTCACCTCTTGTTTTTCCTCTGCAGCTGTGAGCATGGAAGCAGCTGATGGGCCTTCAGACAAAGAGGCAGAGTCTGAGGAGCCCCAGGAGAAAGTCAAAGCACAAGCGGCACCAAAAATAGAAGAGGAGGAGCAGGATCTAAAGGTATGGATCCGTGCAGGTGTGTGATGTCTTCCATCGTGCGGTGGGAATGGCAGCAGGTCCTGGGGTCCTGAAGAGGGCATTGGGGCCAGCTCACCCCGTGGCAAACAGCTGTGCAGGATCAGGCCAGCATCTCTGTAGCCTCATGCCCTGTTACCAGCAGAAGCCAGCAGCAAAGGCTTGAAAAAGCCTTTTCAAAAGAGAAAAGGGGGATGGAGGCACAAAGAATGACCCCCAGGTCTTGCCACAAGAGAGAGAGCAAAGACTTTTGTCTTAAATTCTCGCTGTAATCGTCTTGAAGTGTTCTCTCTCATGTGTCCCTTCAGTTTCCAGGCTGAAGACTCCTCGTCCATAAGCACTCTGTGTCTGGAGGCTGCTATTGCTGGTCTTCCTGCCCCACGCTTAGCTTTATTTTACAAAGCAGTGATGGGCTGCTGGGGCTAACTGGGAATTGCTGCACCATTGCTCTGATATTTTCCTTTCTGAGGCTCAGCCCATTTTTCTAAGCAGACAAACAATTCCCAGAGCCCCTTCCTGGACGTGTTTAAGAAACGTGGACTTGTGGCACTGAGGGATGTGGTTAATGGGCTTGGTGGGGATGGGTTGATGTTGGACTCTATGATCTTTAGAGGTCCTATCCAACTTTAGTAATTCTTTGATTCCTGAGCCGTTAACACTTACGCACAGAGCTTCAGATTCCACTGATGGTTATGCAGGAGGGCAGGGGACATCTCCATATTTGTCCTTTGCAGCCTGTCCCCTTTGTTCCTCAGTTGCTCATTACTGGCATCTGCTTCGTTAGCAGGTCACCCTCCCTTTGACAGATTGTTTGTGAACGGGGAGTCATTGGCTCACAGTAGAACTCCTCTGGAAATGTTCTGAGAAAACTCACACTTAACTCTGCCCTTATTTCCCCTAATTTAATCATTTTTGCAGTTGAAAGGGCTTTAATGTCCTCATGCCACATTTAATCTGTGTCAGAAAAACTTGTAGCAGAGTTTCGAGGTGTGACATTACGTTCTCTGCACAAAACCTCCTCCAGCATAGCATACACATGAGGCTTTTGTTGTTTTCTAATTTATGATAAAAAAAAAAAAAACAAAGCCTGTGGCAAGGATCGTTTTCATTGGCTG